TCAGTAGAGGTATCCAACATCCTGTTGGTGATACTGGTTGGTAGGTGTATTGGTGGAGGAGTCCAACATCCTGTTGGTGGTACTGGTCGGTAGGTGTATTGGTGGAGGAGTCTAACATCCTGTTGGTGGTACTGGTCGGTAGGTGTGTCAGTAGAGGAGTCCAACATCCTGTTGGTGGTACTAGTTGGTAGGTCTGTCAGTAGAGGAGTCCAACATCCTGTTGGTGGTACTGGTTGGTAGGTGTATTGGTGGAGGAGTCCAACATCCTGTTGGTGGTACTGGTTGGTAGGTATGTCAGTAGAGGCATCCTACAGGAGTATTCAAGTAGAGCTCCATAGGTTCTGAAGACGGTTGGCCTAGCCAATAGAAATATGTCAAAGAATAAAAATTTAAGTTACAGAATCCCTGGTGTTGATGCTCCATCCTATATCTACTTTAGAAAGGTGAGAGTTTAAAATCAGAAAGGTGAGAGTTTTTGTTGTAGTAAATTATCCCTCAGTTTTGTGTCTTTCACGGAAATATTTTGAGAAAATCCTGTACTCCAAGCATCAGTCCTTTGTGAAATTATCTGATAAGTTATGTATAAAATGAGGTATACCTTTGTGAACTAATTTGTTTCTCTTTATGGTACAGATGGAGAGAGGCAAGCCCTTTGGGATGCTTATCTGGACTTTGACCTTCCATATCCTGTGTCAGGCCCTTACTGTATTCCTGATGGTGTTGGAGAATCACCCTCAATGGCTGAGGGGCAAACACCTTCCTTCATTCAGGTAAACCTTTGTGTAATAAAATCTGATTCGCAATCAGTTATTATTGATATAGAATAAAAACTTCTTTTGCAGTTTTCTGATTAAGTGTTCACATCACAGCTGATCCATTCATCTGGAACAAAACCAGTCATGCTCTGGGGAGAAGTGGCATCTGGTATATTGGTAAGATGGAAGTTTGGTAGATTATCATTTAATACAGTATGTAGACACTGATTGATATTCTAGAATCAAAATATGTTGAATAGGAGCCATAATCCAGTTTATATTTAGGGATCAAGTCTTGTTAATGACTTGAAAACTCGATTCGGATTAGTACTATCAGTTTCAGTATCTGTGATGATGAGAGAGCTCCATGGTTTTTGGGGCTAGAGGGGCAGGGTCAAATAGGGGAAATTAAGGAATAACATAAAAATCTTATTTTTGTTGGGAAAAAAGTTTTTGTCCAAATGCAATCTGGAGCATCTTTGAGTGAAGATAATTTTCGTCAGATGTTAGCTGTATAAAGGATTGAAACCAAATACAAGAAGTAGAAGAACATCTTTAAATCCTTATTCATCTGTTAGGATGAAGGCATGTCCAAAGTTGGTCTGAAGCATCCTTGAGTGAAGAATTTCTGTGTAAATGATGGGTTTTGGCCCCAAGGGGCAGAGGGGAGGGGTCTAGTACTGGGAAATAGAGGTAAATGCTTCAATTATTTTTCCTATTTGAAAAAAAGGCATTTTGACCATTTTTGGTTTGGAACTTTGAAATTCCTCATCTCAAATTTTGGATAAAACTTGACCATAATTGTAAATAAAAAAAAGTTTAGATGTGAAAGCTGAAATATCCAGGTGAGTGATACAAGTTCCATGTGCCTCTTGTTACATTAAAAAATAAAAAAAAAAGCTCTGCAGTAGTAAGTCCATATTCCTAGATGTTGTTTTATCTTTATTTGTCCATTTTCCATTTTTATAACATGCACCTGTGTATTTCAAATATCAGTAACAGAAATCAAAATGTAACTGTCAAAACATGTTATTCAGAATTGATTCAGAATATATTTTATAGGATACCAGTTCTGAGGAGATGGCTAATGATTACAACACCTGCCTGACTCAGTTATCTAGAACCATAGCCAGTGGCTTCCTCAGACACCCACAGTCCGAGGTAAGTTGGCCAAACACCCAGTCCGAGGTAAGTTGGCCAAACACCCACAGTCGAAGACTTGTGTTGTGTGTTCATATTGTGTGTTTGGTAACAAATCTGACTCATTTGTTACCTGAACCGATCAATGGAAATACTTAAAATCACTACGTTCGACCAGTTAATTTATCAGCTGTAAAGAGCATTAAGATGTTTGCATTAAGGTTGTTGTTGTTTGGGTAACAATGATATCACAATGATTGAGCTTGGGCTGTTTTTGAAGAGAATGTTGCACTTTATATATATATATTCATTTCATTTTGTAAAAATTTAATCTGCACTTTTTGAAAACATAATCAAGACAATAATATGTCTTCAACGCTAATGTCTTGGCTGAGATGCAAACCTTTCTTCTTTTAAGCTCTCCATAGTGAATGATGCTATTTCCTATATCCGGCATCTTGTCTCCCTTCTGAAGAAAGACTTCATGGGTTTGCGGGACCACTCCTCTGTTGACCATTTCAGCGATGGATCATCTACACGCTCATCAGACAGTCCACCACACTTTCATCTTGCCCACAATAATGTATTCCACTTTTCCCCAGAGCCTGACTCATCTAGTTGGTTACCTGATGTACATTCGTTGCTTTCAAGATCTCCAAGTCCAGATGGAATGATGGCAGTCCGGACTCTACATCCGTTGCTTTTACAGGCCAACCATGAATCTACAGATACCACAACTCAGTCAATTCTCCATTTCTCATCAGACACTCAAAACTTGATTAATGAATCTGAAACAGTCAGTCAAAGTATGTTTGATGCTTGGACAAGTCTGAAGCTGCGACAAAAAACATCTGATTGCAGCACATCCACTGAGGGCAAGGATGAAAGTTTCAGTCACATCTCCTCTATTCCCCACAATTTTGGGAAAAATGTTCTCAGTGATATCAATGGAATTCAGGATGATCTGAGCAAATCAAGAAAAATGGCATCATTGGATGATAGTTTTGGTCCAGTGCAAAGAAATACAGTTGACAATTTAAGTTCAGCCCTAGATGGCAATGCTAGCTTTTTCGGGCAAAGACTTACAAATTGTCCAAATGATTTTGGTCACATACTTGACAGCGGAAATGATGATGTGGGCAATCCAAATTTTAGTGCTAGCCTAGACAGTTGTGATGGGTTTGAGGAAGAACTCAGATTTCAGCTGAATAGCCAAGAAACATTTACTGATAATCCAGAAAATGACGAGTCCTGCATGATGGAACAGTTTTCCCGGGAGTATTCAGCTTTAGCCTCAGTTCTCCTAGAACAGTCTAAGAAAGGTTTAGGATCTCACTGGAGAGAGGCCAACACAGAGTTCAATGTGGCAACACAAACACAGGAGGCAGATTCAACCACCACCAACAGCTTTGCCAGATCTAAAACTTGTACCAAAATTTGCCGGACAGCACAGGGTAACACAGTCAGAGGTACTAGGGATATGATTGTAGGGGAAAGGCTTTGTTAAAAATCAAACTTCACAGGCACAAAACATTTCTTATCAAACCAAAAATCCAGAAAACTTCAGCTGTTATAATTCTTGTATCTGAATGAATCTTATTAGTTATACATTTTGTAAATAATAGATCATTGCTGATATTTGTGCAATTTAAATTAATATATTTCTTTAATGATTGAATCTCCTCCAGGTACTTGTGGCACCTACTGTATGTGTGTTTGAATCAGCACACACTTGAATATTTCAGCACTGCGGAGGGGTAGACTTTTTAGTGCAATCAGAAATTCATGGCTAGAATAATTTTCAAATTAGCTGTGATTTGTTAATTATGAAACATGCTTTGTAATTTTGTTAAGGTGATCCTTCTAATTGACCAGTAGAACTGCATAGTGTTTAACAGTGTTCAACATTGCATTTGTTGTATGCTCCGTGACAGGATGGAGAAATATTATCATTGCGCTCAAATTACTGTAATTGACATGAACTTGAAAGGCATTCTTCTAAAACAAGTACACATACAGTGTTTTATTTCTCTTTAAGATAGATATTAGTTTGTAACTCAAAAAATGTTTGCAAAGAAAAGTACAAAGGTCATTTGCAAATTAATTTCTTTACAAATGATGATGGGAAAATACCATTTTGTCTTCATAAATTGAAATATGCCTCTATGATTTAAATGAAGTTTAAACATTTAAGCATAATGTGACATCAGTTTTAGTTTTTGTGGCCCTAATGTATTGATTTATAAAAGTTAATGCTGCCTACCTCTTTAGATGAATGGCATGAAGGAACAGAAGTTAACCACTATGACTCGTTTATGTTGAGTTTCTGAAAGATGTACAAGCCATGTTTTAAATCAACACTGATACTTACAATGTTTTATACCTTTATTAGTTTCAAAGAAGAGTACGAAAGGACCAAAACGACCAAAGAATGGATTTATTCGGTTTTCCGTTGAACAGAGACGATTGATGGCAGATGAACATCCACGCTTAGATAACAGAGAGGTTTCTCGTATGCTGGGAGCAAAGTGGAGGAAGATGTCCTATGATGAACGGCAACCATACGAGTAAAATTATTTCTCTTTTGAAATAAATATTGATCAAACTTCAGGTTATGGTAAAGAAAAAATATTAGGTTTTTGATTATTGTGTTTTGTTAAGATTTTAAATTTGGTTAAACATGTAAATCTTGTTTTATTTAACACCAAAAATAAAATTTAATGAAATTTGGCAGAAATATTAAATTCATGGTAGAAAAAAATTTTCATGTGTTAATTTGCATGAATTATTATTTATAATGAAAATAAAATGTAGAAATAATGAGATACAGGTAAAATGGTCTGTAACAATCCTCACACATCCTCAGACTGCTTATAATGTTGATGAAGAATGAAGTAAGATAAAAAGGCTTCATTTTAAAAGCATTCAAGTTTCAATGAACCTGTTGTTCTTATATCTATCGTCTGAAACACGTGTAGCTGAAGGAATTTAATTGTTCATATTTTAAGGTTAGAATTTAAGAAAGACATAGAGGACTTGAGAACTAGAAATCCACAATGGCGTTATGCTCCATTAAAGAGGCTCAGCCATGATCAGATTGAGCCAATGCCTAGTAGACTACGACCTCGTGAAACCCTCAAGAGGAAGGTTAGTTGGTGATCACAAAAGAGCACTTCATAAAAGACAACAGGTTTCGTATATCCCTGTCAAAAATTTTGTCTGGACATATTAAGGTTTGCTGAACAATTGCATTCACTATTACATGGTAAGATGTACAAGGAAATGAAATGTAGTTTTATTGGACTTCAGATTGTATAGGGCCATTTTTAAGAGATTGGCAAAATGTGAAAAATGTCAAATGATTAACATTATTTTTGGTTTGTGTATTTTATTAACAATCCTTGTAAAGCATTTTTTTTTTTTTTAAATTCCAGTTCCAACCACTGAAAAGAGGGTCAGGGAAGAAGAGAGTCAAACGGACAAGCTCAGTAGCACAGAAGTTATGGTTGGTACAATAACACACATATAGAAGAATTTCCATTTTTATTAGAATCAAAACTGCAATATTATATTACATAATTATACAAATATATCTAGGTAAATAAGCATAAGATCATTACAGTACTTGAGATAAATCACATATTGGTGAACATTCAAATTTTATTTACACTAGTATTACAGGGACTTAATGGTAAGATTTCATCATTTTTCCCCATGCATTTGATTTTGGCCTGGCATTGAAATACTTAAAATTAGACTCTTCACAAAATTTTCACACTTTCTGAGAGAAATTGATAAAGATTATTAGCTTTAAACTAACTCTAGTCGACACTCGCTGTTGTGTCTAATACTCATTGCTGTTTTGATCGGAGTTAATCGAGTTCATCATGTGATGCTTTTGGAGCCCCATTTTAAATCTGCCATTTTATATGATTAGCCAAAACTTAATTTGCCAGCCATGTTTCAACTCTTACTTTATAAAATGACCTCGTTTCACACTACGTGTGACAGAGTGAACTAATTTGAATTCAAATTGCATGCACAGACATTGTTTACACTCTCTGAATAATAATGATATGAACTAGTGAGGGGTTGCTCCTATTTTATTTGTGAATTTTTGAGGTGGTTAATGAAACGGTTGTGCAAACTTTGATATATTATAATTAACAGAAAGGACACAATTTTAAATGTTTGAAAGCTTTTTATCAGTTATAAAATTAATATCTAACTATTTATCCCCTTTAAATTTACACTTTGAAATCTGAGCTTCACGTTGTACTTTTATCATTTTGATTATAGCTTTCCATTTCGACTGTATCCAGACAAAGTGGAAGGCCATTACCGATACTTGGCTGATGTGACAGAGGATTGCTCTAAATCTGATGTACCTGCTATTAAACCGGCCCCGACTCCAATCCCCACTCCAGACACACACCTACGCATGCCCGCTGTTCGCATCACTGAGGAAATCACAACACCAACACAATACATATTGTACCGGGCACCATCCTGGTGACTTTGTGATAGAAAATTGGATAAGTTCTCTAATATGATGAGGGACAGTTGTGGTGAAGGAATGTTTTTACATGCCTTTATAATTCTAACCACCTCTGGTGTTTTAAGTGCTTAATTCTGTCAACCTATGATTTTAAGGTTTTAAATTCAATCCACATTTGGTGCTGGAGGTGTTTAATTCTATTCACCTCAGATGCTATAGGTGTTAAATTCAATTCTGTCAAGTTATGATGATACAGATGTCTGATTCTATCCACCACAGGTGCTATGAGTGTTCAATTCTATCCACTTCTGGTGCTTTAGGTGTTCGATAATATCCACGCTCAGGTGCTACATGTGTCTAATTCTATCCATCTCTGGTGCTACATGTGTCTAATTCTATCCATCCCTGGTACTACAGGTGTCTAATTCTACCCATCTCTGGTGCTACATGTGTCTAATTCTATCCATCCCTGGTACTTAAGGTGTCTAATTCTATCCATTCCTGGTGCTAAATGTGTCTAATTCTATCCATCCCTAGTGCTACTTGTGTCTAATTCTATCCATCCCTAGTGCTACTTGTATCTAATTCTATCCATTTCTGGTGCTACTTGTGTCTAATTCTATCCATCCCTGGTGCTACAGGTGTCTAATGCTATACATCTCTTGTGCCTCATGCATCTAATTCTATCCATCTCTGGTGCTACAGGTGTCTAATTCTATCCACTCCTGGTGCTACAGGTGTCTAATTCTATCCATCTCTGGTGATACAGGTGTCTAATTCTATCCATCTCTGGTGCAACATGTGTCCATTTCTATCCACCCCTGTGCTACAGGTGTCTAATTCTATCCACTCCCATGCTACAGGTGTCTAATTTTATCCACCCCCGTGCTACAGGTGTCCAATTCTATCCATCTCTGGTGCAACACGTGTCCAATTCTATCCATCCCTGGTACTAAAGGTGTCTAATTCTATTTCTTGTGTGCACGTATATTTTGTAGTTTATCCAATACCAGTTTATTCAGTTGCAGTGCCATGGTCATTGATTGGTTGTTTTTTAGTCAGTCGATCTCTTGATGAATTTTGTAAAGGCAACAACAATTGTTTTGACTTATTTTTTTCTCTCAACTCAAGTTATGGTGTAAATAGTATTATTTCTGATATCTATCTGTTATTTTTGTTATGCTTTTCAGTTATGATAATGAATTAAATATAAAAGTGCTTCACTTCAAATAACAATTTCTCACTGTTTTAATGGTATATATATCAGACTTAAATAACTTTTATATATTTTTCATATTAAAAATATTGAATATAGTTATTGAAGTTTGGTTTATATTTTTGGTTTATATTTCATCGTAAAGTTTCCTAGCAACCTTCCAAAAACCAACCATTACGATGTTCAGGACATTTTAAGGTATTACATGTATAGTGGAAACTTGTGTATGATCCAGAGATTCTAACCCCTATCCAAAATACTAGGAATAAATCAACTATTTTTAGCATGGTAGTAATATTTTATAACATCAGGAAGTGGAAAAATATTGTGATAAAAGTTTAATTTAATTGCAAGGTGATATTTCCCTCACTCATGCTTGAAAACGTACAACAGAAAAACGATAGATATGGTGTGTCTACTAAAACTCTCTAGTAATCATTTAATGTAGTATTAAAGTTTCAGAGCTTTGCATTAACTTGTCTAACAACTACATATACTACACCTGCCTCCAATATGGCAAACTCTCCAATTGCATGACAGGTCAAAAGTCAAGTTGGTAACCAATCCTCACCAATATTCAATATATTTTGGTTGCACATATTGTTGAATGACAGACATATGCCAATGGTTAGTTTATTGGTCACAAGTCCAATAATTCATCAATATTATACAATTTTCATTTGTACACCTTATTCCCTTGTAAAGCTATGTCAAAGGTCAATATATGGGACACAAAAATTTATAGGTCGAACAAGTCATTGATATCAATCAATGTTGCATTTCCCCATCTTCATTATAATGCAAAGGCCTAAAGTCTATATAGATAACCAAAGGTCACATGTCAGATAAGTCGTCAATTTCAATCAATATCAGATAAAACTGATATCAACTGATTGATTGCATCACTCATTCATTTTTTAATATCAATATCAGGGTTTTCCATACGAGCTGGTCGCCGGCCAATTTGACTGGCTACTTTGATCATTTGGCCGCCTACACCAATCCAGTTCCATAATAATGTTCCATACACGGCAGGCCAGCCTCCTACTTTCACTACACAGCCTGCTACTAACAAAATTATGGAAAACCCTGCAATATACAATTTCAAGTCAAGTTATAGTTCTTCCACTTAAGCTTTCCATACACAACACTAGTTTGTAGTTTCTGATTGAGAAATACAAATTGAGATGGATTTTGTCTCATGTAGCCTCTCACAGCAAATTCCAACATCAAGCCCTATACTCAAAATAGTTTAAATGGTACAATCATTATCAACAGAACTCCCATTGGTATAGCCCCTATCAGCAAATTCTAGCTGTAACTGAATTACAATTTAATCAAAATCTCTCATGAAAACAAGTACTAATTGTAATGGGAACCATTACAAATGTCCCCCAAACGACCCCTTCAGCAGTAAATGATTACAATAATATATATACCAATTTTCACGAAAATCTGACAATATCTAAAATTTGTACAAATTTTGACCACAGATGACCAATTGGAAAATTCAAGTGGCCTGCAGTCCGCCTCGCATATATGAATATGTGTGTAAAGTTTTGTTAAATTCCATGGAATAGTTTTTGAGAAACACGGCGGCGGAAGAAAGTGCAAACACAATATGTCTCCCAACTTCGTTTGGGGGACATAATTATCCTAAATTTTATATCTTGACCTCAATAATGTGTATATCTGACTACAAACCAAAACTAAATGATTTTTCAGTCTCTGGCGATCTTGTTCACAAACAGAAATTGGAGTCATTTTTTCATGACTCTTTTAACAATTGTTATTCTGGTGGCCATATTATGCTTGTGTCAATATGAAGCTTGTACCATGTGTACAAAATCATCTGATCATTCCTTCAATATCTTTCAAATACACATAGTTCTCGAGTTATTATTATATTATTAAAATTGCAATAATGGTGCCCATCTCGAATTTCATTTTCACTTAAAAACATGATTCAAGTGAAATTTTCATGTAAAACTTTATTCAAATGAAATTTTTACATAAAACTTCATTCAAACGAAATTTTCACTTAAAACATGATTTAAAAAAAAAAGTTATAGATGACAGATTAAGCACTAGCGATAGCTCACTTTAGCCAAAGGCTCAAATGCTCTAGAAAGCAAAAAATTTAATTGCAAACGGGACAGACCAGGAAAAGTCCACAATAACACATCAACTATGTGGTAAATAGTGATGTACTCTGAAGATTTCAATATATCACAAGAAAAAAAAACAACTAAATGTAAACTTTTATAGATAAACTACAAAACACTGTTAAATTATGTACAAAAATTTAATAATGGAACCTGCGAAACGGACCTATTCACAGTATCACAACATGAAAGTCACAACATTTTTGAAATCAAACACTTCACATCCTTTTTGCTCTATCACTTGACAGTTACCTAGGATCAATGTTTAATTCAAATTTACAATCTGAACTATTGATTATTAACCTCTTTTACAAGCTGAACAACTTTGTAATCAAACTTTGTTCTTTGTCCTGTGTGGTCAAAATTCTAACCTGGTAACAAAATTGTGGAGTGATGATTTTGCACAATGAAGTTAGTTCTCCCGACTGATATTTCATCAACTGCGTCTATATTCATGGCAAAACCTTTATCAGAAGCAGGTACAAAAATTGTGCTATCTATCATGAAAATCGGGAAAAGGTCCAGTGTTAAGATTGTCCTTTCAATCTAGTATGCTTGGATGGAATCTTTACTTTGTAATAACCTGGTTTATCTGAAATATTTAATCTATACAGATGCAGAAATCTAGAATGTAGTGCCTAAAACCACTTGATTGAATTAACAAAAAATCTTGTATAACACAAACCAGGTATCTTCAAGTAATATGTTTTTAAAGCTGCACACTTTGTATATCATCTTTCAGTTTCACGATCACTTACTTGATACGTCAGAAATACATGGTCCATTGCACAAACCTGGTATAACTAACTGATTTAAAACGAACATTTCGGTAACCTTGACAAACATCTTGGTCTAAGATTTCTTTTTCACATCCATATTAGTTTCCAATCAGATTTTAAATGTAATGTTGACCAAGTACACACTGATACATATTATGGTTGCTTCAATTTGAAATAGAAGACTGTCGATATAGATTTGGCTGTATGACAATAAAGTTCTGTTCTTGATTGGTTGTCTCCCCGTAGCGTTTCTACTGACATCGAGTTGTCATCTTTTGCTGTTGCTCTGTCTAAGACCCTTTTCAATTTCAAACTGTCGATGATCTGTACGTTCCAAAAATGCCATTCTTTCCAGGTACCTAATTAATAACAAAAGTTTGAGAATTTTCTTTCTAGTACAGTAATTCTCAAAGAGTAATAGTGATAACAAATTTCAACTGTCAAAATCCAAGATGGCCACCTTTTCACAATTTTATTTCACTGATCAGTCTCATAATTTCTTATGCACAAAAATAAACCATGGGAATATACACATAAAGTTTAAGAAATTTTTTCTTGTATTTGATAACTTGATTGTACCAAAGGTACTTAAGAATTAATATTGATAACAAGCTTCAACTGTCAAAAAAATTCAATTATAGAATAAATTCAGATAAAATGCTTCAACTTCCAAAATCCAATGAAATCGGTACAACAATGGACCATGGGAAACACACATCAAGTTTGAAGAATATCCCTTCCCTACTTCTTAAAAAATACCTTTCAACATCAGTCGTAGACTGGACAACAAAAAATCTTACCCCGATTTTCCTCTGTTATGGATCTTTAGTTCTTCAGATATTCCTTCTTGTTCTTTGAAACTGTTCCAGTCAAGCTTTGATTTTTCCTTTAAAACCACAAAAATATAACATTTTGAACCTAAAACAGATTTTAGAATATCAAAAAGAATCAACAGAGACATGCAAAATTAACTACCATTTATTTATATGGGATATATCATGAGGTAAGAATATGTTGAGCACACATAAATACTGAAGGCTAGACACCAGATTGTATATCTCATTCTGTCTGATGTGCAAAAATTTGCTTAGTTATACTGTAACATGTTTTCTATAATCCCTCTGTCTGGCTGTCAGTCAATAAGTTTACAAAAGTTTCGAATATGAAAAAGTGACATAAATTCCTTTGAAATGTACATCATTATGCATCATTTTTTGCCAATTATGACATGATTAATTTGATGCACAAAGTGATAGTTTTGATGCACAAAGTGATAGTTCAACCCTTTTGAGAGTTCATCTGTCTTTTTCCTCACATATTTAAATTGTATGAGATTGAACACTTTACAAAGAGCCAATGTTCTCCGTGTTTATCTTGATTATCATTAACTTCAGTGCATTATGTACCAGTGTTCCCATTTTAGGTTTCTTGTTGATACTGTTTAGTACTCCTCCAAGTCCTCCGCCTGGTCGCTTGATCCCTGGCCCCCTGCAATAACAGATATCAAAGTTTTGACAGATGAATAGGCAACATTTGATGGTTGATAGGCCTCATAGCTTAATTTTGATTTAAGTTTGTACTACCTACTGGTATCATGTTCAAAATCTCTCTATTGCACTTTTCAGTTTAATGATACATAGGCAAACACCGTATTTTACGTAACAAAAACACCCATGTGTATGTCATATACTTGTATATCAATACAATACACAGCTTTCTCATAATGCTAACCTTATACACAGCCACTGATAAGTATGTCTAAAGTTTTTCAGATTCAAATAAACTTTTCTATTACTCACTTCCCAGAAAATGCTGATGTGGCTGTTGTAGCGACAGGTGATGGAGATTCTTCCGGCTTGTCTGCTGTCTCTTTTTCTTTTAGAGCAGCTTTTGCTTCTTTGGAATTCACATCAACTTCTTTAGTAACTCTTAAACATATAAAATGTAGACCACACTTTCAATATGTCAGTAATTCAAATCATATAGTTTATTTACCAACAAAAGCATCAGTGAAACTGATGAATGCTATCCCAAAACAACTTTAAAGGATACAAAATCTTAACAAAGGGCAATAACTCTGCAATTAAGGGGTTTTGGGCTCTGAATTTCATACACTGCACATCATATCAATATGACCAATGTATATGTGTAATTGTGGGCAAAGTTGTGCTCCAGACATCAAAGGACAAACAGACAGCAGGACAAAGCATCAACTATATGCTACCCCCTAAATTTTTGGGGAGCAAAACTATATTCATATCACTAAATTCACTATTGTACAACTTTATAAACTGTCAAGTTGTTCTTATAAATAAAACATATCATTGCTCTCCTCACAAATATTGATTAATAAATACCTTAATCATGAAAGTATCCATTATCTTGTCACTGTTACTTTTTACAACAGATGCTACCACAATGGGATGGATTTTTCACGTTATATGTTTGATGAATTTTGTACACACAAACTACTGAAATTTAAACATGATTACTTACTCAACAGCTTCTCCTGCAAAATCATAAACTTTTGTAACTTTGACCTTTCCTGTGGCATTTACTGGTGTTGAAGTGGGTGTAACTGACTTAGGTGACGATGAGGTACATGGCTGAGAATGAGAAAAATCAATATTTCAGATTAATTCCATCTTTCTACATGTACCAATAAAGTGTGGGACACCACTTCAACTTCTTGTCCTATCTATGGTATAGGATGAAGGTAAACACTTGAATAAATATTACTACATGCTTTAAAAATATCCAATGGCTTTATATAAACAAGAGGCCCTGAGGGCATGTACCACTCATCTGGCTTTGGCCGAAATTGATAAATCCAAAATTAAAAGAAAAAGATTTCTAGAGGCTTACATCCATTTTCCCATTGGCCCCCACTTCTCTGCCCTTAATGAGTCGGTACACCATTTAAACAAAAGTTGCCTTTACCCAAAAATGTTTCAGGCCAAATTGGGACAAAAGGATTCTCAGGAAAAGACCTACTGTTTATACAAAACCTAAGGATGCTTCAGACCAAATGTAGGCATATTCCTATAGGAGGAGTAGGATTTTAAAAATATTGCAAAATTTTCCCTTTTGTCTCTGCCCCGCAGGACTCTAAGGACCAAGATCCATTATTATGTAAATTAGTTCCCACTTCCCAAAAGGATTATTGGTCAACATCTGCTATGTCATTTACAACTAATAGCAGGCATAGGAGAAATGTTGACCAACATCAGATGCACCAGTGTGGTATAAAAACACTCTTCAAATACTGCAGTGAATGAAAATCATCTTAACCATGACACTTTATAGGATTTTAAACTTAAATGGAGGATTACATGTAGCACACATGTTCATATATAAGGCTGTAATCATGTCTGTTGATTAGATCTTGATAACTTTGCTTATTACCTTTGAGAGATTGCCTAGAGCCCCTAAACCTGATGAAGGAGCTGGTTTGGGTTTGGGCCTTCCACCAACATCAGACAGGAAACTGGCCCATAAATTTTCCGTTCGTTTCTTCTCTTGCTCTTCTTTCTTTTCCATTTTCTCTTTTTCTATCTGTTCTGACAGCTCCTTTTTGTGTTTGTCATCTTCTGTTTCTTCTGTCTCATTTGTATCATCATCTAGCTTTATTCCACCTTTTCTTTTCCTTCAATGACACCAAACAGACTAAACAAATAACATTTTCACAAAATTAAATGACAAGCAACATCAATTTGGATTTTCCATCTCAGCCTTAATTACCAAGTTACAAGGTACATATTTATGCTGTAGATTCCATTTACAAAAACATTTTGTTTGTTGTATTTCATAATGTAACAGAGGTCATAATTCTTTTCAATGCCTCCACTAGGATTCGAACCTGGGACCTATGGCTTACTAGTCTAACTCTCAACTGATTGAGCTAAAGTTAAGTTCTCTCTAGCGGAGCTGTATACTGAAGCTAGAATTTACCATAGTAACATACTCATCCTCAAGGAAATAACTCGTCTTCGAGTTTCCAGGGGTTACAGTGATGCTAGTTAGGCATGACTAAGTATTATTCCCGAGTCTCTACATCGGCACCAATGTAACAGACATCATAATTCATTTCAATGCCTCTGCTAGGATTCGAACCAGGGACCTCTGGTTTACTAGTCTGACACTCAACCCATCAAGCTAAAGAGAAGTTCTCTCTAAACGAGCGGTATATTGCCGCTAGTTCTTACCAGGGCTACAATAATACATAAAAAAAAAAAAATACTCCCATGTTAAATAATGTTGAATTTCAATGAAGTTTTGGTGATATGGATGTTGTATTCAATTATATATCTATTCTATATAAATAAGTCAGACATTTTTTCAAGGCTCAAATAGCATCCATGTAAAAAATACACACTATACAAAGTGAGTAAATATACTTTGGTTACCTTCATCTCTTTATTTATACCTAAGTATTTCCTAACTGCCTGCCTCCCTGAATTCCCCCTCTCTTGTCCGAAGAGAAGGCCACACCCTATGTATATATAACATTAAAATGCTTCTGATGATGACAATGTTCCATGACAAACTTGTTTACTATTCTTTCATTCCTACAGGAAGAGTATTTCAAAATATTTACCAGGTATTCTATTAATCCTTTTGTCCTCTGTTCATCTGCCACTAGGATGGAACCTCCCTGTTGCCAATAATGGGGCTTACAAATTAATTTTTATAAAAGAAATTATCTGTAAGAAACAAGCTTGAATCTAAAGCTCTACCTCAATTTTACCAATCAGACTCCACCCTTCTCTACAGCCTCAATTTTAACATTTCGTCTAGCTAGCATGTGAGTCATTGAATCCTCTTTGGCCTGTTCATGTACCATATTACTCTATAGTTAGTCTAGATCCTCCAAATACCTTGCTGCAAGATCTGAAGATTTCTTCTTTGATTTTTTGCGTTTGCCACGCCCTCCTTTGGCTTCAGTCTCATCTTGATCCTCTTTCAGTACACTTAGATCCTCTTCATCTCCAGAGTTCTCCTCCTCACTCACAATCTCCCCATCTAAGTCAATACAAATGTCAGCGTTATTACTTTCACCTATGATAAGGTGATAATTAAAAAATCACCATTTTCCCAATGTAATGTAGGCCTGGCCTATTATTAATGGTCTAATTTTATTAACTTGGCAGATGACAACAAATCATTGACATCCAAGGATGAATTTATTGGTTATATCATCATATCTGGGAGGATGTTTGACATGTAAAATTGTGTATTAAGAAAAAATACATAAATTTGCCAATGAAATATTAACACACATTTTTTATGGTGAATGATTTTTATCACTATTTTCTTTCTGGAAGCATGGCATGTTACAGCAACCAAAATAATCTTTGTTGTGATATCACGCAGGCCAATATTGCATGTGATACGCCTCGACAAAATGGTCGTTCCGAAATCCATAACGTTCTGGAACCGAAGTCCTGACGATATCATTATCAACGCCACACGACCCCTACTTATTATTTGCTTTATCAACAAAAGGTACATAAAACAGGTATTCATGCCTTTTTGCAGTCAAATTAATTATAAAGCTACGCTCTTTTTAAGCTTTTACCTTTTTCAGACATGTTATATTTAAATTTGTAGTAAACCATCTGATCATTGTTGAAAATATAGCACCATTTTCCAGCAATTATTTAGTAAATTAAATATATGCAATTCAAAACGTGTTTACCATCAGGAACATAATCCTCATCGTCAGAAGAGCTGTAATCCTCGTCGTCATACATTCTTCTTAGAGTGAGGAAAAATCTATAAAATTACTTCGGTATGTTAAGTCAGATGGCAGGTGCTTTTTGTTAAATGAGGAAGTCGAGATAAATAGTTAAAAGCAAAAACAAAAAAGGAGAGAACATCCGGAAATCTGAAACGACCTTAGAATGTCCAAAGATGTATCTTTGGTTGATAATAAACGTATGGAATCACATAAAATTGAAAATTGTATCACAGTTTCTGAAAAATCAAATGTGAGTTTAGCTCTTACCCGACACAAAAACATGATTTAAATTTAAAGCTAATAATTCCGGAAGTTACTGGTCGTCTTTATTTTTATAACGTTTCCCTGAATTTCCGGTTACTGAAAACTCAGGTTTTCGGAAGAAAAAATGCATTTAAACGGACTGATAACGTTTTTGCTGTCCGGTTTGTGAACGATTTTCTGGAAGCTTCAAAACCACACAGGTAATCCGTAATTACAATGCGTCCATTATACACTGACATGGACTTGGCTACAGATCGATCGATTTCTAAATCCGTGATGGGCCTATAGCTAGCTACCAATGATGTCGAGAATTTTTGTTCTTTTCTGCATTGACATTCTACATGTTTTTGATTATATCCTAAATTTAGTGATATTATGAGAAAGTAGCAACAAATCAAGTGATAATAGATTAAGAGTAGTTTTATTTCACATACCGTAATGCTAGCGTGAATGACCGATGATTAAAACATTCGAAATTTATTTCATTTTATTTATTTTTTGTTGTTTTTATCTCAAACTATCATATATGACCGACGACTTTTACATATAACTATGTGAAGGGAGGTAATCCAATATGGCGGACGCAGAACTCGGGAAAGATAACCCCAAGAATGGCATGTTCCTGCGTATAATGCGCACCCCCTTTTTCACACGACAATTTTAGCTTGAAAAAGTGCGCACTATACGCGAAAATTTTTATGGTAGTTGTAAAATTAAAACATGACATTAACCGAAAAGTTGCATTAGAGTTCGCTATACTGTAAAACCTCCTTTGGATAATTCTTATGCATATATTAGTGTTATAAAATAATTACTGTAATCATTACATTAACATTTTAATAACCAAACCACATAGTAAAACTCCTGCATGGTTCTATCAATAACTAAATATTTAATCAAAGATAAATAAAAAACAAACAAACAAAAAAACAAAAAATAAAAAACAAAAAAAATTAATAACATGTTCCTTATATACAGGTTAGAAAATACTCAGATCTGAGAAGATGCATAGAAACTCCAAATCATCCAGGAATGCTCTCAACTTGATATAATAATCCTTGCAACTGAGAAACTTTGGTGTGCAGGTAAGTCACCCCTTTAAGTATCTTTTTTATGAACTGACAAGACATTTCACAAGTCCATATTTCTGCAACATAAGTATACAAATAGTTCAAAAACTGTTTTCCAAAATTCAAATATTACCTGCATTTGATAGATCACATATTGAAGATAAGAATATTATTCAAAATGGCTAAAACATATTATGCCAAGTTCTTGTATATTTGGCAAAAGCCTGGGTGTCAAAAAGTTTAAAATTCACGATCTTTTCCCTTAACTATCTGTATACCAATATACCAATGTAATTTTCTTGAAGAAATAAATGAATAATGTTTCAGGAAGGTAAGAAAATAATAATTTATGAAAAAGATGGTACAAAAACATGTCATGGACACATATATGTTTTGACATAGTCAGTTCAATGAACACATCTTTATAATCATTCAAGTGCATATTTTGTATTGCTAGTTATGGTACTGCAAAGTTTGAAAGAAATCTGATTGGGTGGTTTCTTTAGGAAATTTAATGTTAGATGGAACCCCACCTTTGTCAAAAACTCTTAAGGGTTGACTAAAAACATAGGATGGGTCAGGGTGACAGAAACACTGGTACAGCTAATGTTTTTGTAGATATGTAAATACGATGTGTATATCTGATTTTAAGCATCCTTGGGAGAAGGGGAAACAACTTTGTACAAATGGTGGGTTGAGGCCACTTAGGGGTGGGGAGAAGGGGGGAAGGGTCCAATAGGAAAAATTAACGAAAGCAAATTATTTCAAATCCTTCTCATGGAGGAATGTCTGAATTTTGTCCAAATTTTCATCTGAAGCATGCTTGGGTTAAATGAAGATCAATTTTCTACAATGGGTCTCAGACTCCAGGGGCAGGCCACACTAAAGGAAAAGGTGCAAATTATTGAATATTCTTCTTCTTGTTAAGGAATGCTTAGATTCTGTACCAATTTGATTCATAACATTTTTGGATAAAGGGGAATCAATTTTGAATAAATGGTAGGTCTAGTTCCTGTGGGTCGGCAGTGCAGTGCATTTCGTTTATTCTAGATGACTAGTAAACCAAGTAAGCAATACAGTCCTTGTTATATATGCATTTTATCTTATTTGGTAAGGTTTTCCATAAAGATGGCATCAGAAGGTGGTGACTTCAATGCAGACACAAGTCTCGATTCCATCATTAATGTGTTCGGGCTTACATCCAGTGAAACTCTCAATGGATTTGCTGGTGAGTTCATAATTGGTGTCCAAGCTTTATATTGTACTGACACCTATGTCATAGTCTGTGTATTGTGTTGATGGATGTGCTCTGCATTAAATATACATATACTTTTGTCTTTCTGTCCCAGTTAAAAATTCAGATTATCAAAACTTCAGTAGTTTTTCATTTAAAAGTGAGTTTACCAGATGCTGACATAATACTGTGTCAGAGCTTATGACATACACCAAAATGATTTCTCAGTGTCAAAAAAAAGTTACAAACTTCAAAAACAAATTGAAGTAATTTTGTGACTTTCCCGAAAGTAAACATGTTCAATGCAACAATCAATATAATTCTTGGGATTTGGTGCACATGATTAAATACAGCTCTTTGCTGTCACTGCATGTGGCAGTTGTATCCCAGGTATAAGTATGAATAAATAAAATGACGGCTTCATTACGTGCAGATTTGAATAACCCAATATGTAACGATGCTGTAAAATCTACATTTGTAGATAACTAATGAGTCACATTACAATTTTATGGATATCTTTTGCTAGGCTTTCCTAGCACTTTAAATCTTTGTTTTTGACTGCGAAAATTAGTTTTAACTCATGACCTTTGTAAGGCTTGTCTATATTACTTTGGCCTCTTTACATTTCAAACAAGAGGTGAGAATGCTCTTGTATTTCATAGTCAAAGGTCACATTGCAACCCAGTTATTTACCTAAAGTGACAAGAATTAGATTTTTTTACAGAAATGTGGTACCAGGTTTTCCTATGGGCTCTCTTCTCATCCATTTTTGCCCATGTGGTGGCAGCTTTGATAGCATTCTGTCGACTACGGAAACATCGATATGGACGTTGGATTCCTGCTGTTTTACTAGGCATGGGTGTTCTCTCCCCTCTCACTGGTGGTGTGATCACAAGTACGTACATATAAAGCAGTGTTACAAATAACTCACACACAATTGTTTCTTTGAATAAATGTAGATTTGGAGTTTTTTAGAATCAAAAAAAAATTGTGTTCAACTCTTATATCTTGAGTTGAGATTTGTTAAAATGACTGCAGGTTTTGTAGGAAAAAAATAAAACAAAAATCAAGGCTAACACTAGAAGAGGATAAATATAAATTATTGATTAAAATGCATATTGTAGATGTGCCATATGCATTCATATTGTTGGTGGATTTCAAATATTCAAATGAATTAAGCTGTCATTTATTATCATGACCCTGGATGAAGCTATGTAATATTTGTTCATTTAAGCTACAACAGACATCAAAATAACCATTCTGGTCATTATTGAGTGACGCTAAATTGTGTATTAATCATGGTGTTGGGTTTTAAGTATTCTCAGTCCCCATTTGCTGTCAGGCTTATTGCTTTACTGACAAAGTGAAACAAAGGGCAGTAACTCTGGGAGATCAGAATGAGGTGTCAGTTGATGTGTTATAACAGCTTTTTATTGATATTCTATAAATGTTTGAATATTTATAGAAAAAAATAGAAAAGAAACTTGAATGCTAAACTTTTGAAATTTATAATTTGTTGCAGGTGCAGCCATCGCCGGGTTTTACCGAGGGTCAGATTTTGTGATGAAACCATTCTATGCTTTGTGTTGGGGATTTGCACAAACTCTTTTTGTGATTATTGTGTCATTTACAAGAATTTTATCAACTTTATGATGATGCAGCTTAAGACTGATATTTTAATAAAAGTTGTTGTTTACAATGATTTAAAATGGACAGCATCACCATTTCCTATTTATCTTTTGTGGAAGAAACCAGTGAGGACAACAAAAAGAAAATTTCAGTTTTTCTGTCAGTGAAATGTAATACATATTTATATTTCAAAAACAAGTGTGTGTCATATCCTGAAATACAGATGTGTAGTAATTGTTCACTTCACTGCCTCCCGAGGGATCAAACCTGGGACCACTAGCGTACTAGTCTGATGATTGTGTGATCAAGCTAAAGACAGGATCTCTTTAGTAGAACGGTATATTACAGCTAGTATTTACCAGTGTTCTTAAAAGGACCCATTAAAGTGTTAACGATGGATAAAGTTGATAGGATAGAGGGGATTTGTCTAACAACTTTCCTATATGTGGAAATGTGAGATTAATTTCTAAGTATGATGTCAGTCTTCATTAAAATTTGATCTGGAGCATCTTTAGATGAAGGGAACAGAGTGTTGTGTCAGTGATGATGAGTTTGACCTTCTTTGTAGGGCAAGCTAAGTTGCCATTTATTCCTGGAGCGATGTTAATCTTGTTCTTAACCAAATCGTATATGACATCTAATTTAGTAAACAAGATATCTAATTATCTTTTTTGATGAAAGAAAATGTATTAAGATGTATTTGATAATATTAAATTTAATATGTCCTTCACTGGGAGCCAGGAAGGACTATAGTTTTGCATATTGTCTCTCTTTCTGTCAGCTACTTTGTCCAGGATGTATCTCTTACACTACTTGTCGGTGGAGTTTCATACTTGATGGAAAGGTTTGCGTTGGTAAGGTGGTGTGTTGGCCATTTATGTCAAATTGTGTTTTTACCTTTATATCTAATTCACTATATTAGACATCTTGTGTAAACAAGTTAGATGTAATATTTGATAAATTAGGTATTGTATTTAATTAAGTTCAGGCACTGAATCAATATTGCTCCATAAATATATGACAACTTAACTTGGTTGCAATACTTCTGTTCTTGAGAAGCAAATGGCAGAACAGGGCATATTTGTAACAGGATAGCTTGTCATACGTTAAACAGAAATCTATCAAGGGTTCCAAGTAGTTTAAATTAAATCTTCTTTCGATTTTTACACATCCAAGGACTCAAGTTTTTAAGTTTTCTTTGAATTCCTTGAAGCTGTTTCTGTAAATTTTCTGCTTTGTTGACCTGTTAAAGCGTTTCAATTTCATTCTGTCAATTATACATATAACTGGTAATTTGTATCTATTTCAGTCTACTAATGTGTTTACATAAAAAAAGTCTTAAAGAGATCTTGCAGTAATTTAATATTTAACATAATGAGTTACAGGCTGATGGTGTGTGGATATGTGATGGTTTTCTGTCATGTACTCAATTTATTCAATTTTGTTAAATTTTATTTTGTTGAATAAAAATTGACTTCATTATGGTTTTGGTTCTTAATGTAAGACAATGTGAAATAGAACTTGTTAAGTACCTGTTAAGTTTATAGTTTTCACTATTTACAGAATGCTTAAAGAAAACAGCCAAACATCCAGTGAAATATCATGTGTTTAGGATGAGAGTGAGGTAGATTCAGACAAAATTTGAATCAAACATTCATTTTTGTCGCCCCTTACAGCATGCAATGTTAAGAGAATGTTAAGAGGCTATGAATGTAAGACAGACAATCATCATCCTACCTTGATGTAAATCATTTCTGAATGAATATTTTTTGTTTGGCATGATAAACCTGTTGTAACACACATCACATTTACACTAGACCTGGTGATGTTGTAACACACGACACATTTACACTAGACCTGGTGATGTTGTAACACACGACACATTTACACTAGACCTGGTGATACACACGACACATTTACACTAGACCTGGTGATGTTGTAACACACAACACATTTACACTAGACTTGATACACACGACACATTTACACTAGACCTGGTGACACACAACACATTTACACTAGACCTGGTGATGTTGTAACACACAACACATTTACACTAGACTTGGTGATACACACGACACATTTACACTAGACCTGGTGATACACACAACACATTTACACTAGACCTGGTGATGTTGTAACACACAACACATTTACACTAGACTTGGTGATACACACGACACATTTACACTAGACCTGGTGATACACACAACACATTTACACTAGACCTGGTGATGTTGTAACACACAACACATTTACACTAGACTTGGTGATACACACGACACATTTACACTAGACCTGGTGATACACACAACACATTTACACTAGACCTGGTGATGTTGTAACACACAACACATTTACACTAGACTTTGTGATACACATGACACATTTACACTAGGCCTTGTGATACACACAACACATTTACACTAGACCTGGTGATACACACGACATATTTACACTAGACTTGGTGATACACACGACATATTTACAATAGACTTGGTGATACACACGACACATTTACACTAGACCTGGTGATACACACGACACATTTACACTAGACCTGGTGATACACACGACACATTTACACTAGACCTGGTGATGTTGTAACACACGACACATTTACACTAGACCTGGTGATACACACGACACATTTACACTAGACCTGGTGATGTTGTAATGCACAACACATTAACACTAGACCTGGTGATGTTGTAACACATATCACATTTACACTAGACCTTGTGATACACACAACACATTTACACTAGACCTTGTGATACACACAACACATTTACACTAGACCTGGTGATACACACGACACATTTACACTAGACTTGGTGATGTTGTACCACACATCACATTTACACGAGACCTTTTGATACACACAACACATTTACACTAGACCTGGTGATACACACGACACATTTACACTAGACTTGGTGATACACACGACACATTTACACTAGACCTGGTGATGTAACACACATCACATTTACACGAGACCTTTTGATACACACAACACATTTACACTAGACCTGGTGATGTTGTAATACACATCACATTTACACTAGACCTGGTGATACACACAACACATTTACACTAGACCTTGTGATACACACAACACATTTACACTAGACCTGGTGATGTTGTAACACACGACACATTTACACTAGACCTGGTGATGTTGTAACACACGACACATTTACACTAGACCTGGTGATACACACGACACATTTACACTAAACCTGGTGATGTTGTAACACACGAAACATTTACACTAGACCTGGTGATACACACGACACATTTACACTAGACCTGGTGATACACACGACACATTTACACTAGACCTGGTGATGTTGTAACACACATCACATTTACACGAGACCTTTTGATACACACAACACATTTACACTAGACCTGGTGATACACACGACACATTTACACTAGACTTGGTGATACACACGACACATTTACACTAGACCTGGTGATGTTGTAACACACATCACATTTACACGAGACCTTTTGATACACACAACACATTTACACTAGACCTGGTGATGTTGTAATACACATCACATTTACACTAGACCTGGTGATACACACAACACATTTACACTAGACCTTGTGATACACACAACACATTTACACTAGACCTGGTGATGTTGTAACACACGACACATTTACACTAGACCTGGTGATACACACGACACATTTACACTAGACCTGGTGATGTTGTAACACACGAAACATTTACACTAGACCTGGTGATACACACGACACATTTACACTAGACCTGGTGATACACACGACACATTTACACTAGACCTGGTGATACACACGATACATTTACACTAGACCTGGTGATGTTGTAACACACGACACATTTACGCTAGACCTGGTGATACACACGACACAGTCTCGATTACTGTTTAAAAAAAGGACTATTTCTGGTCCGTGTGGTACTTCTCACATTACGTATTGTAACCCAATGTATGTAGGCATTATTTATTTCGCAACAATTTAAACTTATTTAAACTTATACCAATTATTCAATTTGATTTAAACTTGCGAGGAGCCTTACTGTGGAAGGAAACTGGAGGCTTCGTGAAAAACCAACGTGGTCTGTAAAGTGACCGGAACTTATTCACGTCCATTTGTGAACTATTTAAAGTTAATATGTAAGATTAAATTATTCAAACTTGTGCTAGACATAAGTCAGATGTTTCATCATAGTGCATCTGCCTGTGTTAATATAGTACTGACATCTACTGTGAACAATTATGTATTGACCAGTGGCCAGAGGTATTCTGTCGTTACTGTCATTACCTGAAGCCTATCGCAGCAGTCTGTATGATGGTCAGTGTAACCTTATCTTGTTGTAAACAGCCGAATCTATTGCCATTTATGTGTGCAATACCATGTCGATAACTCACGTATACTTCAATCCATGTTTACCTGTTTCCTAATGTGTATTAGTTCTTCATCAGTTAATTAACATGGCTGGTATAAATACAACCACCGTTCTATCCAGTATGCACGTCGCCAGAGAATCGACGTACGTCGATTGGATTCCGCCCGGCGAATCACGGAGACGAAAAACTGCCAACAACAACAAATATCCAGTATGTATTGGTTCCTGACGGCCAGACAGGGGAGAGACTAGTCTCCGCTGGCGGGAACCCCGCTCGCACTCTAGTCTCAACTTATGAAATATAACAAGTTTTCATTTTACTGGCGCCGTGACCTCGGACACCACTGTAATACAATTACTGGTCATTCATTATCAACTCTACGATTACTACATTGGAAGAAACATTTAACAAGTTTTTCATTTTATTTGAAAAAACAGATACGGTACCACTGCAGCACCCGACTCTTCAATAGTGGCAGGAGCCTGCATACTTTAAAATTTTAGAGAATTTTTTAAGCAAGACGTATTATCATAATGTTCTTAAATGTTATCATAAGATTTCAGAGAGTTCTCTTTGAATGGTACTAAGGAACATATCACCTTACTTTCAACATGTTTAACAATAAATGGGGTTATTTCAAGAACAAAAGAGCAAAGCAAACAACAAAAGAATATAAACAAACAATTTGCTTTCGTTATTGACAATTGTGAGCTGGATGGTAAAATTAATTAACAGAATAAATAAATTACCGAATGGCGGAATTAATCGATTATGACTTGTCAGTTATTAATATTTCTAAAAATAATATCAACCCCGTCTCTTTGTAGTGTATAAGATTTCAAAATTCATACCCTTTTAATTTCCCCTCCTCCTCAACCCCTTTTCACGTAAAAAGATGATACTAATTCTATCAATCGATATTATTCAATCACTCCGTGTGTAAAATAAAAACCCTTTAAATAAACAATAACATATTTGTTTCGAATAGATATGTAAAAGTTGGAATAATTTAATTGAAAGAAAACATAAAAGAACTTGCTTATTTGTTTGGGTCTATGAAACAAAGGCTTTTACACACACATACACACTGCTGATGAAAGAATCTGGATTAATCCTTTCTCTCTGTAGAATAGAAGTTTAAACATTACTCCTCAACCCCTTTCCATTTAAACGAATGATGCTATTTGCATTCATCATTAGTATTTGATCACGCCATGTGTGTAAGGAATTATTCTAAGTCCAGATTTCCAGCTATCTGACAATTGGACAATTAATTGACGGTGTTAGACATATTGTGTTGAGATTCTATAACAAACGATTAAATTCCACTTGACTGAGTAATTTGTTTTTCGTCGGATTTCGAACTAATATCTTTTCTCAAGTCTGTTATAAACTTTGCTCGAATCGTGATGGTCAAATAACTAAAGTATGTTTCGGGTGGACTTTTGTATATACTTCCAAGCGGAATATACTTTTCCGATGGAATTCCATGTTCAGTAATCAAACACCATAATATCGATTTCTGATTTTTTGATTGCTCTTTAGAAATACAAATCGGAGATGGCTTCCTCGATAAGGAATTGATGCGTCAGTCTGTTTGTAGTACTGTTTGATATAACGGCCCTTGTGCTAAAGCCATGCAGAAATTCACATAGATTAGTAATAGGTCAATATTTTGTTTAATATTACTGATGTTATAGTGAATCCCTTGGTAAAAGTATCAAAACAGTTTAGATACAACTATAACAGTTCATTACTTGATTCATGATCAGTTATAAATTGAAAACTACCACTAGGGAAATATGAAAAAAGAGAACAAACAACATGCTATTGATAACTGATGTTTGTTACAGATGTCCATTACAGCTCGCGACCGTATATACTAATAAAGTTTATCAAAATTTACTGATGACATATCGTTAAAGGTTTAAACACCGTATAAAAACTTGATGTCTATTTCAAGCATTACCCTAGCAACATACCACCAACTCTTTACTCTGCTACTTCTGGCTTTGCATAGTGTGTTCAATTTGGATACTAGCCTCCATCCACCAGGCATCGCTAACAAGCAAATATGTCATTGAAATCGGTACTACTATGTCTGTTACTCAGCCTTGGAAATACAGAATGTAAGTAAACATTTCTTCATCTGAAAAAATGCTATTTTTGTCCTTTCATTCATTTTTTGTATTTTTTTGTTTGTTTTTTTTTTTTTTTTTTTTTGTTTTTGTTTTTTTTTTTTTTTTTTTTTTTTTGTTTTTTTTTTTTTTTTTTTTTTTTTTTTTTTTTTTGTTTTTTGTTTTTTTTTTTATTTGTTTCTTTTTTTTTTGTTTTGTTTGGTTTTGTTTTGTCGTTGTTGTTTTTTGGTACATTTTCATTTTATACATATATTATATTTTCTTTTCATTGTTTTTATTTATTAATTAATCTGTTTTGGGACACGTTACATAATTTTTTGTCTAAAAAGGAGAAATTCATTAATGCTGATACTGAAGCTTGTGTAATAGACATACCTGATTTGCATCATTAAATACAAATTTAGTTGTGAGATAATGCAGAGTCAATTAATAATTATCTGCACTATACAGCTTTGTTGTGGTACAATTTTCTTTGTGTTGGTAATCTCAATAGAATAAAAGTTCTTATAACACAACCAGTAGCAGATTTGAGTGTGACTTTTCGATGACTACACAGTCACCTTCATCAGCTACCATTTTTGTCTGATGAAGGTGACCATTGAGTAATGGAAACATCACACTCAAATCTTTGACTTGATCTGTTAAAAGAACTTATATTTTATTGTATCATACAGCTGTTAAGTGATTTTTACTCGTCACTGATGCCAAGGGCATAAGACGCTCTGTTAAACATAGGAGGCGACACGGGGAAATCGAAAGTGATCGCAAAAGTCTAAGTTTAGAGGGAAAGGCGCATTATTCGTAATCATCATATTTGTTCCGTGTTAAGATTGTTGATAACCCATCGTGTGCTTGTGGACATTACTGTGGCGATGTTGGTCATTTTTCCCTATAATGTAAGTTTATGATAGAGTAAAAATAACGCTTTTTCAAAGTATAAACATGTTGAATATAGATCAAGTGAATTTACATCTATCTTTATTTGGAAATGAAAATCTGTCCCTAACTACCAATACAGAAGTATTCAGACACGTGCAATTTTTTTTATCAAATCCAGCAACAGATTTTAAGTAAAATGTACTAACTGTTAAATATATTATGTATGCCTTGTTAATGTTATCATGTAAATATTATCGTGTATTGTATTAGAAGAAAAGGCGGTCATCAGTTGAAATAACTTGTGCCTAATCCTCTGCTCAATTTTGGGGCAATAAATATGTTTGAATCAAACCAAATCAATCACCATACAAATGATAACCTTAGAAAAAAACATCATGTGGAGTAATCTGGGTCATGTATTTGAAACATATTTTATATCAAGAGTTATTTAAATTAATGTCCATTTCATATTCAAATGTATTGTAATTTTACCCAGAAAGCTTAAGAGCAAGATATTTGTTCTAGTCTGCTGAAAGACCAATCCTTGTTTATTAATTTGGTTTCAGGTATCGTCTTTGAAACAAAGGCTTCTAGACATACATACACACTACTGACCAAAGACTTTGGCACAGCATCAACCGAAAACACCTTTACGTCGTTTTCCTTTCGTGTCAGAGTGTGTGATGACGTGTACGTCGGACTTCTGACGATGAATGACAACAACTTCCAACAAACGGATATGACGTATGTGCTTTTTGACAAAAACTCGTCACAAATCGTAATCTCTAACCAAACAAGTCCGATCTACTACCGGCGAGTGTATCATTGTGAGGTAACCGAAGGATTCCAGATGAAATGGAATGCTACTGGAATATCTTTGTTCACATTTAACACTACGGGCTTCGAAAAATTCGGTGATTGGTACATAAGTTACACACCAACTTTATTAAATGTTAAATATATTGGAATACTCGCTCACGATGACGCTCTTTGGAAAATACCGCAAGGTAACTATTATATCAATTGATTTCCATTTTGCACAATTTATTAAAGTAAACTTTCAGATGTGTGCATTTCTCTGAATTCAAATTATCACGTTTGGAATTTTTTTCTAAAACAGACGTAATACAAGTAGAATATGCTATTATTGTAACGATACTTGTATAGCTTAACCACATCTGTAGGCGTTAAGGATGCTCATAGAATTTACAATTGTATATAAATGTCATGATATACCCGCATAAAATTATTGAAATCAGACAATACTTGATTTCGACCAATCAGATGGCTTCATTTGGTTTCTGTGATAACCGATGAAAATCAAAAACATCATCGGAACTCAGCCTTGTGTTTATTCACAATCACGTAAATTTTCAAGTTTAATAAAATAATTCCATCTTCTAGTTTTTGAAAATATTAGTGAAAGCTTTCGTAGCCGAAATAATTAGAGGAAATGAATTTATAAGTTATTGATAAAAGATATGATTTTCTCATACTTCCTTTTTTCAGGACGGGCTAAGAACTTTTCATGCCAAAAATAAATTAGCAGAAAATCGCAATTCCTAAAGTAGAAAAACTACTTAAAGTCACTTATATTTCGCGTGGGTTTTTTTCGCAATGAGTCAAATTTTTCCATGAAGTCAAGTCGCCACGAAATAAAAGTTTTTTTGCCGAAAACAAAATGTAAATGGAGTCCTGTAAAAAAAATGATTTCAATCATTTGGATAAGCTGTTATGTAATGTCTGTTATGTTCTTACTTTAATCACACGGAACTAAAAATAACGTTTTGAACGCCGTTCTATTAAAAATAAAAATGATTTGGTTTAAATATATTTAATTTAAAAACGACAAATGGTGGAGTTCTAATCATGGATGTACTTTTTTCCACAACATACCTGAATACACAATCAAGCCTAGAAAATGATATTCTTCAATATTTATTGAACAAGGAATCATGAAGATTTTCCCCCCAAACACATATGTTTTTAAATGAACCACATGTCTCTAAAATATGAAAAAAGAATTCTGATATCTTTATTAGATCTGTAAACAGTAATTTTCATTCAAAATTGTGAGCGTTATCACAAGTTGTCGATTTCTAATAAATGCCAAGTTTGCTGCTCTCTCTTTTTTTTTCAATACGCAGAGGACATAAAGCTAATATTAGACACAGCAGACACAACAGAGAGCGCTTCAACAACAACAGACCGTGTCCAGACAACAACAGACCGTGTCCTGACAACCACAAATAGCGCCCAGACAACAACAGACCGTGTCCTGACAACCACAGACCGTGTCCAGACAACAACAGGCCGTGTCCTGACAACCACAAACAGCGCCCAGACAACAACAGACCGTGTCCTGACAACAACAGACCGTGTCCAGACAACAACAGACCGTGTCCTGACAACCACAGACAGCGCCCAGACGACATCAATAGAATCTATCACCAACGCATCCACCGCTAATACGAACACTTCGACGGTCATTCAAACGTGCAGTTGTTTATGTTTCAACTTCACGCCACCTTACTTGTCTACGTGCACCTCTTTCGATATTAGGTGTCTTGTAAAGGAACTCAAAGTGAAACTGAAAGTAGATAAATCCGCGTTGTCCTCTACCATACGTAAGAAGATAAGTGTCGAAGACGACAGGCCGTCTGCGCAGGCACTAGGTGTAATCGGTGTATTGATCATCGTAATAAGTATATCGTTAATTGTGGTCCCGGATGTAGCACAGTTGGTCAAGTACCTGTATCAAGGTAAAGATTCGCCAGTCACAAACTTTACAAAGAAACCAAAGGTTCACATGCGTACCAGTAGCAAAAGGGCGAACTGACGTTCGACAAATTTACAGCACGACTAGGTCGGGTAATTGCCGAAAATACGGAGATTCTTATTTAATGCTGTCGTCTGTAGCTTGCTGGTCCAGGTCCTGCTGTAGTTGGTTTTTTTCCCTTTTAACCTGCTGTTACGGTTGTGTCGTTGAACAAAGATCCCACTTTAAGTATTTTGGTCAGGTAACATTCCGGAAGAAATATGAGCCATTGGATGGTGTGGCTGACAAACGTTACAAACATCAAACAGCAGCGGAGTTGGAACAGGTCGTACAGATATACAGATGATATTTATTTATAAACACAAACTGTAATATATCCACAACACATCCCTTATTCCTAATGTAGTTCAATTCATGATTGGAAACATTTTCAGAGCTCTTTCAACTTCAGTTTTAACATTTACTCCTGTATATTCTTCGGTCGAAGTAATCGTTTTTGTCCGTGTATCTTTGTCAATAAACGTGTTGTGGTTGTAGAGATTTGCTTTCAGCGTTTGGCAAGTGCAGCAATAGCAACGTGAACGTTCGTTTGATTACGGCTGTTTATATCGTTCAATGGCTGCTGTGTGATGGTTTGAGAGAAATTGTTTATAGAGAAGGAGTATATTGAGGATGGTGCTGATGGATGCTTCCAAGCTTACCACCAAAAGGGCTAATGTCATCATTCTGGAAAAAAAGGAAACACATTCTGAAATATGTAAAGATGTCATTTTCCTGTAGCAAAATAAGCACATGCTACAGTGGGGTACTTCAGATCATGTTTGTGTAAGCCTGTAAAAGACCGATACAAGCGGCATCAAATATTTGAAATCCTCTTGTAAAAAAAAGTTCAGTTGCCATCATTGTAAGAATAAAGAAATGCTAGTGTGTACCATGTTCATATCCTAAGCAAGCAGATCACCAAGTTATCTTAATGTAACATTTGAAATAACATCAGATTAATATTTTATTCCTCGTCTGAAAACCAAAACTATTTCGTATTTTGTAACTTTGTAAATTCAGAAAACATTATGTTTGATAGATTCTGCTGTTTAACACATACATGGACATGATGATATCAACACAACAACTGACATATTCAGTATAACTATTATTACAGTAATGATTCTGATGAACAATAGATAAGTCGAAAGTTTTTGAAAAGTGTGTAGTGTCAACTTCTATCGTCGTTGTCGGAGAGGGACTGTCCTTATTCTAAGTATAAGTATGTATATTTGTATATCTTAAAAAGTAGTTTTGTATGTATTCAATTACCCCCTCCCCTTCTCTGTCTGTCCCTGACCCCCACCCCCACCACCACCACCACCTCTCTCACACTCTCCCTCTCTCATGTATATATGTATATGTAACATGCCATCTTGTAAATATGTGTATTGTTTTATTTTTTTGGGTGGTTAGGGCTTAATATAAGTTAACAAACTTGTGCCGAATCCCATTTGTACTTATTTGACAAAATGAATATGTTTTCCTTTATTAATTTTTGTTTTTATACCGCCTATCAATCGACAACTTTGACCTTTTTCTTATAGCCATTTTCAATTTTTTATGAGTCCTATCTATAAATCTAACAGCTAACGAAGTGCTACTGAAAGAAGCGTACAGTAATACTTTCAAAGAAAATATCCCAATTTCCTGTTCTCATTTAAGAACGTAAGATTTCATGAATTGACCAAGATTAGAATGACACAAGTTGTCGATAAAGCAAAAGACGCTTACCTCTTCGGAACACCTGTTCTTATCTTACTTGTACCTTTCAGGATTCTCCATGTAAATATTGCTTTTGTTCATAATTCTAGTTTTATAGAATTTGAGTTTGAATTATGATTATATCGACATGTTGATATTTTCTGGTTTATTTGCAGTAGGTATCATATTCGAAATGAATTTATGTTGACGCATGCGCAAATAGATTCATCGAATAAGTCTGTGATTTATTTGCTTTTATAGAACTAAGTTCAACACACTCTTATTTTTTATCAATACTTACCTATAATGCACTAGTTGTTCGGTCTGTATTTGTGTGTCATCTAGAAGACCATTCGCAACACAATTATACACTGAAAAAGTGAAACGGTAATCATATTAATCAGTTAAGCAAAGAAAATTGTTGTACAAAAAACATTTAGTTGTAGATTTCACAGAAAGACAAATTTAATCTTAGATAAACTCTCTGTATAGTTACAGTGTATATAGCTGCGTCTGTATATCAAAGCCAGTGCATTTATTGTTGAAATAAAGTTATTTCAACATCTTTTCATGAATCCATTCATGTCGGGCGTTTTCGCATTGTAAACTCATACCTATTGTGACGTCACACAAATAAAGATTATCACGCAATATCAACATGAAGACAGCATAGAGCTGGTAAGATCTACTCCTTAATGACAGCAGATGGCCGTAAATATGGTAAAAAAAAACCCAGCAACCTCCGGCAAAATAGAAATCCATTCACAGCAATGTATTGCAAAACTTGAAAACTCCACATCCGGTCAATCTATTGTACCACCCGACCATCAACCCCAGATTCTCCCGACTGCACATTTGTAACTTTTGCTAATGAAACATTAATTAAATAATGTCTATACATACGATGTATTATATTATAACCCATGTTTTTACTTGTGTTCATCCACATTTTTTGAAGTGTTGTAGTGGTCGTTCTTTTTAATTGAACAACCATGCTTATACATACTCACCATTGTTTGAATAATCATTTGTGGTTAAATGAATGTCTTCATTTTCTATGTGGTTATAAACAATCGGTCATGTCTGTACGAAATTCCTTTCATACACACCTAGCTATCTCATTCACGGTCCGGCTAACTATCGCTGTCCGAAACCGTTTCTAGTCTTAGACTCCGAGTTCGGACGTACAGTTACATCCATACAAGTAGTGTATTAAATCGGAAATTATTCATCCTGACCGCTTTCTTGTCCGTCGCCGTTTTCAGTCTTTCCGTCCGCGTCTGGTGTACAAAACCATATTTATATAACACGTGAAATGGAAATCCGTTATACTTACCACATTCATGTCCGTTGTCGTTCTTTCCTTAGAAAAACTTAGAAAAAATATATCAGACCACTTTTTGAATAAGCCTGCGAAGTTTGGAACAATTGCAATACCACTCTTTCAAATAAATTAGAAAATATTCAGTATGAAGCAGGTCGCATAATTACAGGATTACCAGTATTTACTAAAACAGAATTTATTTACAAGGAGCTAGGCTGGCAATCATTGGCGGACAGACGTAAAAATAGGAAGTTATCTATGTTTTATAATATTTATCACAATAATGCTCCTTCATATATAAAACTTATTTTGTCAAATTCTACAAATTACAATCTTAGAAACAGAAATAACATTCAAATTCCACTCTATATTCTACAACTTACAAAGTCATCCTTTATACCAAGCACTTCTGGAATACTCTACCAATCGAAACTAAGTCATCTGATTCTATCAAACAATTGAAAACTCTTCTACCTCATCTTACTATCCCTACAAATATTAAATCATTTCTTGAGTACGGGCCTAGAAAAGTAAATATAATAAATTGCCAACTCCGCAACCGCAGCAGCTCTCTAAATTATGATCTTTACAAAGCACGTCTTCGACCCAATTCTTCTTGCAGTTACGGACATTATTCTGAAGACTCTAGTCATTACTTGCTTTTCTGTAACAACTTTGATCAATTACGTAATAGAATGCTTCAGTCTCTTTACTGGTACAGCGAAATAACTGTGGAACACCTTCTATTTCTAAATCTCGATACTGATAAAGATATTGTCATCTGTAGGTCTGTACAATCATTTTTTTCTAGTTCAAAACGTTTTAACATTTCATCATCGATAACCAGGACACCTAGTATGTCTATACTACCCCTTCCCCACATCCCTTCCATTCATCCAGTTTCATCCTTTCCTCCCAACACCGACGGGTATTGTTTTATTTATATAATTATACTGTTTATTTAGTACATACTTCGTAAAATATTCATACTTTACCAAAACCATATACTAAGATCATGGCTGTGGTTTCCTAATCTTGTCGGCAAAGCAGGTAGAGCACGACATCGTAGAAGGACAAAGTGTGATCCAGGAGAACGACAACTAAAGCACGGGATGTGACTGAACATTTTAGATAAGTAGAACGCAATGTGTGTACAGTAAAGAGTCAGTTCTTTGCCGACTGGATTAGGAAATGACTGTCACCAAATCCACAGAATTACTCGTCGGTGCCCCCCACCCCTTACTCCAATTTTGTTTTCTCTTTCTCATTGTCTAAGCCTATCTTTAACTAAAAAATATGAGAAGTTCTAAGGCTATTGCGTGACTATTTTAATTTGTATGTTTTTACTTCAGAGTGAAAGTACTGTTCATTTGAATTCTTCTGTACAATCTCTGAGATTTCAGATGGTAGCCACTGCTGGTTGACCGGTAAGCCACATTTTATTTCATACACATGTAAGTGACATTCGTTTTAAATGATCAGAAGTATGGATGTAACGAAATTATTTAATACAAATTCCCATATAATTTTTAACATTTTTTATGATCCCTTTGGATTTCTCCGAGTCGCGTCCTAGATTTTAAAATATAGATCCCTAGCATCATGAATCTTGGAAGGACAAATCAGCTGTTTGATGTATTTTTTCTCTCCCTTTTTAGGTGCTATTCAATTTGCTCATTCTTCAATAGTATCCTTAGATTTATCCGATCGCGTAATGAAATAAGAAATTTGAACTCATTTAGTCTTAATAGAAAATTAAGGATACACAAACAAAATTATATCTTTTCCTTCTTTTTTAAAATATTTTTTTACTATCCTGTTTCATTTAGAAATGATATATCTATTTGTGACGTTGGACAAGTTTGATGCTCGTGTGTATAATTGGAGGTCCCATTATTGGACTGACCACGATTAACATAGCGGGTTCCATTGAAAAAGGTGAATACGCTTTCTCTTCCGGAACACGTTGTCATAATCCCCGTGTACTTTTAACGACGTCTCCGTTTAATTTCTTTCTTTTGTTCATACTCTACTATTGTGTGATTAAATTTGAGTTTGAATTAAGATTCTGGTTAATACTTTATATTTCACATGAAATGGAAAAACAGGATTTAAGTGTATATGTGGATTAGTGTCTTAAGATTACCTCGTAGTACGTCTGTGTTCCTCTCGTTTCCATTGCAACTGCCGGTCACGTGATGACAGGGACATCCATCTTTACACTGACATTTTTTATTGCATCCTTTACCATAATATCCGATATCACAAACTATAAATAAATACGAGAGATATATTCACAGCTTGATCTATATATAAGAAAGATATTGGATATGTTAATTCACGCGCAACTGTTGTATACATATTTATTTGAGAAAGCAAACAGCAAAGCCAACCGAGTCAATGATTCATATAAATTTCCTAACCAAAAGAATTCACGTGACTGAAAAAATCAAAACCATAATTTTAGTAATTATACACTATGTACCTTCTGCGCAAGCGCGTCCTCTGTATCCCGCGGCACAGTCACATGATCCATTCCTAACGTTACACGTGGCACCATTCAAGCATAGACAGACTCCGGTACAACTTATCCCATAATACCCTTCTGAACACGGTACATTGCAGTCTAACGTATGAAACCCAGCATTGCATAAACAGCCGCCTAATCAAATGAATAAAACAAGATGTTATTAACTTATGATTAATACGTGTACGTCTGAATGAGAACATAGATCTGTTTAAATTCCCATTTTTTGCCGTGTTATTTTGATTTTTTTCCTCTGGAAGGGATCTAGTTGGATAAATGAGAATGAGTCTAGATTTTTCCAAGTGGTAATAAAAATAATTAATGATGTTATCTTATTTTCACAATTAATGAATTTAAAGGAAGATTCATACGTGGAGTGCATTTCCCGTTGAATGAGCAGTCTTTATAGCACTTAAGATTAGTACAACCCCTTCCAGTCCATGGGTAGTAGCAATCACACCTTCCCATAATGCAACGGCCGTGTCCTGAACAATCTTTAGGTTCACAGGCCGGTTCGTGCACGCAGAGAATCGTAGACACAGGCCGTGGACACCGAAACCTGGCATCGTCTTTACTGAAATACAAAAATCACTGAAATTGATACAGTACTGAATGAGACAACATAAACCTTTAGATTCTTCTCTGAGGTACAAGAATAACACACCTGTATGGTGAATTAACGACCCACAAATTATGTCACGTAAAGCTTATCACTAAAACTTTCAACAAGGAATGAAAGAAGTTCAATATTTACTTAACAAATCATTTATGAATACTACAAAGCGCATTTAGAACAATTCCAGACGATCTTATAAAACAAAATTTCATTCGGGAACACCTGATCTTGTCTCACTGTATTTTTTTCAGGGGTCGATAAATCTTTCTTTTGATCATATTTTGCCTTAATGTCATCAAATCTGAAATCGAACCAAGCTACCATTTCGACAAAAGTCAAATGTAAGAGATTGCAAGGGCACAAAATAAAACATAAATCACAGTGTGGACAATAAAATTTATCTTAATTAACCTGGTAGAACGATTATTTTCTATAGTTCAGAATATTAACACAAAGAGGGACGTGTTAACTCTAAACAAACTTCAGGTTCCTGTCTCATGAGTGGTATTACCCTGCTTTTTGCAGAATGTTATGTCCCGTATATGTTTTTATGGATGACACATCTCCAACCTTACCATATATCCGGTGGTTGGTTTATCATTGTGTTGTTGATCAATAAAGACGATGAGCCTCCCCCGTCTAAGTTCACAGCCTGAACAACACCAAACTTTAAAAGGATATCTGCAAACTCGTACAGGTTGACGCTACAAGGAAATGCAGTCATATATCATTAACTGCAATTGCATAAGATGACACTATGATCTGCGATGTGGAACAACTCGAATAACAATATTTTAATGCAAATACTAAACTCATAGAATGTTTAATTTTCTAGGATAAGATTTCAGCTTTTGATTTATGTAGAGTCCTCAGACTATAAAGGCTAGCAATGACTTCAAATAGGGCTATACTATTTAAGAGCAATAATATCCTGAGCATAAAAAGAGCTAAAATAAATTTTCTCAAATATGTACGTTTAGATAACAAAATTGAAATATTATGTAATGATACTAATTTCTTTTGCTGTCGTGTTTCATTTTACTGTAGTCATATTTTATTCCTTTGTTCATTTTTAGCTTGTTTAAAAGTAGTCTGACGCAGAAACAATAATAACTCATTACTGAACACATCTGTCTATTTAGATACAAATAGGGCATGTATGAGATCATTATTACCAGGCGATTCCAGGAATGATAATGCGTCCTTTTACAATTCTAATTTAAGAATGGTGCTTATAATTTTTTTGGCCATGTAATACATTGCAACACTAAAAAGTTCTTGTCTGTGTTTCAAAGGATGTTTGGTGAGAACGACACGTGTTCATAATACATCCTGGCAGTCCCAGAGTGTTGTAACTGGTCCGTAACTATAACCTGTCGTGGTGTGGAGAAATTTCTTCGGTAAGATGTTCACTTCTAAAACGACACATATTTCATACAGAAACCTCCGACTTTCCTGCCACTGGTGTCGGAGATCTGCAGACGGAGATCAAATTAAACAATATGTGCTTCATATGAAAGGTACAATAGAAATCAATATATTTCTTCACCAAAAACAAGTTTTCTAAATAACAGTGTTCTAATGTGAACAAGACGAAGACCACTTGTCCAAAACATGGTTAATGAAGTATTTTTTTGGTCTTGGCCTTGGTTATTATATTTTTTTGGATAGACGCCAAATTTGCAGAAATATACACTACGACGAATACCGAGTTCTAAATTATTCAAAAGTTTCAGTACAGAAAGAAAACCTATTGTGCAAAGCAATCTTCTTAATACGTTTTATTTCTATGAATACTTCAACGACATATGAAAATTTAGTACCCTCTTTGATGTGTATTTCCATCCACTTGCATCAATATGACCCTGCCTTCCCTGTCCACAGCCACCGCAGACCTCGCCGATAGTGTGCTGGAGAAATTTTGCATCGTCATCGCCACTTTTGCAATGAAAAAAAATTTTTTTCTTTTAATCATCTTTTTCATTTGTTATTTCACATCATTCAGCCAATAAATCAATATTTTTAGTTTGTAACTATATCTGATATTTCACAAGCATATTAATTTGATGATTTCGGTAGGTTATTGACCAATCCTTGATGGATATTGATGAGTTAGGACGAGAATGTCATGGTTCCATTAAACTCTTCATTCTGTTTAAGTCGAAAATGAATCATTTTGAGAAATACAGATGTGTTGTCTTAGAAAACAGCAAGTAGGAAAACATTCTGAATATTTTCGTAGAAACAACATGTTTGTGATTCTATGTTAGCAAATAGTATTTAATGCCTTACACGGACCTTTTCAACCAATATATCTCCAAGAATTATACAGAAACATCCCTCAGAAATCCGTGAAAACCTTATTTTTTCTACCCTCCATATTTTTATATTAGTTTGAAGTCTTATTTTAGTTTGATCCGCTTATTTCGTTTTTTTTTTAGTTTTGATTTCTCTAGATTTTTAATAATAGTAGAATCCCTTCAATTAGAAATATGGAACAGCCTTTATACCTGGTAATGGTGCAGAACATTCGTAATCTATGCTTTCATTGATGTTCACTTCACCATTCCGTATCAGCCAGATAACTCCACCCACCAGCTGAATGAATTTCTCTTTCGCCATGTCCGCCTCTGTCAGATACCTTAAAATAGGTTTTCCTTGTGATGATACGTTCAGCTATTAAAAACATCGATGTACGCCATTGCAAAATATGTAAATATAATTACATTTTGTACCAACAAATTTGGAGAATTTATCGAGGAATAAAAATGATGATACTTACCCGGTAAATATATCCCCATTTTCTTTAATTCCAAAATATACATTTTGTATTCCGCCAGAATCGCGGACAATTCTTCCATTACTAACAATACTACCTGTGGATGATGAAATCGAAATTATTATCAACCTGCTAAAGATAAACATAATCTCTACAAATAACGATAAATTTATTTCAGATTTTTATTTTCTAAAAGCTTCATAGAATTTACATAGAACTGTTGTATTTTTATCATATGCGTATGTTGGCTTGACATTGTTAGAATACAAAATCCGAGATTCTTTATAATGTTTAAATACTTCTCATTTAGGAGCTACACCATACCAATACATCCAACTTTCCCCAAAATTCAACTAGTACTGGGAAAAAGGATATCTTCAGGTTATGTGATGATGTACTTTTGATCAAGACTGAAACACATACCAAAGCATCCTGCTCCTGTTCCATTTTCGTAGAAAAACCCTGCGTTCATTGCAACCATGCAGGATTCATGTTCGATAGTTTTGGCTACAAACGAGCGATTTATTTGGCAGCCGCCAGGCATCCATGGTTCATGAACGGACAACGTATGGTATGGATACTTTACGTGGACATGACGTAAAACCAAATGACGCTGTCCGAGATTTTCGAATGTGTAACGGTAATCCACGAGAGGAGGTTGAAGCGTCGTGGTCTGGAATCCGTTTGATCTGATGACAGAGTATGCTACTTTTCCTGACTTAACTTTTGGACATTTTGACTTGATTCCGTTGGCTTGAACCGTATTAACGATCCAGATCGTTGACAAATATAGCAATCTACAAAAATACATATATACGTTTTCAATATCATAGATTTGCGACTTGAGGGATTATTCATTTAGTGGTATCTGCTGATTCACTAATAAGCTATACTTTATCTTACTATCAATTTTATAGTAAAAAGTACTAGTTCATTATGTGTTTTTGTACAATCATTTTGATAATTAACAATGCAGTTTGCCGTTTTCCCTACGTTACAGTTTAATGAAAAGAAATAGCGCAATGACCCAAAATAAACACATTTATTTAAAGATTTTTGAAATCAGATAACATCTAAAAAACAAAATTCATTCCGAGTTGTGGAGGGGTCATTTTCTTATGTGTGTTTCGACACAAAATAGAATATTCCTTTAAAATAATGTAGCAGTTACAGGCCTGACACCATAATGCATCAAAACTATGGGGAAAGTGTCCTGAAATGCCATAACGTCTTGTCAAAATTGGATTAATTTTTAATTTGACCCTAAACCCCATGTTGGCCCTTTACAAATATACAAATCTTATCAGTGGGGAAGAAGGCCGTATCTGGTACCCACCCTTTGTGTTAAAAAGGTGTTATTTACTCGTTTGGTACGCTCTTTAGTTTTCATAAACACTTCTGATTCATTCCCTGCACGATGTATTACATCAGAATAATCCTACAACTGAAAAGATTTTCGCAGCCATAACGAATACACAGTAAATTTCTTTTTTCGAACCTTTTCCATTACATTGCACAATCTAATGACGATTATTACCAAGATTAATTTACCTGTCATGACAAATGAAATAATACATTAAAATCACAAAGAAAGATTACATTCGGCCAAGTCACATGTGACGAAAAACCATAAAAGAGAGAGAGAAAGAGAGAGAGGGAAGAAAGAGAAAGAGAGAGAGAGAGAGAGAGAGAGAGAGAGAGAGAGAGAGAGAGAGAGAGAGAGAGAGAGAGAGAGAGAGAGAGAGAGAGAGAGAGAGAGAGAGAGAGAGAGAGAGAGAGAGAGAGAGAGAGAGAGAGAGAGAGAGAGAGGAGAGGGAGGGAGAGAAAGAGTCACATTCAATCAAATTCCTATTTAACGTTTTTTGCAATTAAGAGATATTGTCATTTTTGCTTAATTTCGGATCCTCATATATGAGTTAATCTAAATTAAATTCTCAAAGAGAGGTTGTAACTGTCTAATTAATAGATTTCGATTCTGAATATTTAGGGGATAAACACAAAATAGTTATAAAAGTCATCATATGGGTTGCTGCATCTACATTCAAGCTGTAATCAAGAGATCCGGCACGCGTAAGAATTAAACTGAAGTTCTGGTGATTGGAAACCACGTGAGAATTAAAACATTTATGTTGAGATTAAATTTCACATCTCAAACAATCATCGATTAAATTGTTTCATTATTTTTCAACGATCTCTAACGAAACAAAATAGATAAAAATGAGTTTCGTGTTATTTCCCTTTTTCAGCTGGAAAAAAGGTAAATTGAGGTTTCGATCCAAGGACCTTTGGAGACGAGAGCGGAGAGCTAACTACTGTGCTATCGTTACGTTACACATGATGAAGTGAAAATCTAGAAATCTTAACAAATATGTAGTTTTCTCCAACTATTGAACATATTGTGTGTTGGTATTTGTGTGGAATGCAAAAGATGAGTCAAGTTATACAAAGATGACAATGATGTGGTCAGTACATTTAAGACTGATTATGCTAAAATGCCAAAGATTCAAATATCTCCATATCATCAAGCTCTGCACCCCTACACTTACACTAAAAATTACCCAAATAATATAAAAGTCTGAGTTTTATTGAGAAAATAAAGTATCTATTCGCTATTTTTTTTTTCTGTAAGTGTACGTTAAATGTCGTACGACAGATAGCCTGTTTTACAATGTAAGTTTAAGCTTGCAGTATGTGTTTCACATTTTTTATGAATTATGTATAATCGTTACAAAAGCTCATCTTGTAATCAAACAATGATTACTGGTAAGTCATGCATCATTCAATGAAAAATAAACAAGTTCATTGCAATATTTACTGCGTTGCGATGATAAAATCTTGAACGAAAAGTGAAAAGGTAATAACTAAGTGTGCTTTTCTCGATATTCAAATCACCAGCAAATTAAAATCGAATTCATCTAGTCCGTGTTGTTTATTTACATAATAAGTAGATCTTGATCAAGCGTAAATCGGAAAAATCCAATTTGCATATTTAAATAGCTCAATCCTCTTATTTCGTTTTTGTTTTTTTTTAATCCATCTACAAAATTGTCGACGCACTGTATCTCAATCCCTTATTTTATACATAAATTAGAAATTGGTGTTAATATCAAACATCTATTGCTCTCTTTAGGCACAATTCATTTGCATGCTAATAAATTGTTTGAAAGCTAAACAAAGAAAATGGGATAGGAAAACATGTCAGAATAGCTCCATTTGCTCCACATGCGGAGAGCATACGTATGCTATATTGTTTTGTACATCGCTAAGAGCTACTCCGGTAAACAATTGACAATGAAGATCACTTTTCCAAAAATATACCAGGAAACAACGATAAAAGTTTTGCATGACCTGCATGAACACAATATTCAACCAGAATCAATATATATGTACATACCTAATTATAAGTGGCATAGGTCCAGTTAAAATCTGTCCCACTCTCAGGATCATGGTAGATATCATACACCACTGGTGAATGGGACGCCTCAGATCTGTATGTATACAAGCAGTTGTGCGTAAAGAGTCTCGCTTGGTTTAGTAAGTTTTAAATAAATAATTTTACTTTTATCACGGGTTTGTTTACATGGGAAAATACAAAGGTTTATTTGTTAAGAAACCCTTTGCTGAAAAATAAAGGCTACAGAGATAGATTATATATAGAATACCTCATAACGAAAAGTTTGTACATTCCATAGCTATCAGTGTCTGAGGGGCTGCATATGACCAGAGTAAAGTATTCAGATAAATGTAAACTCTAATAGCCATAAAATGAATCACACCAGCAGAATATTCTCTTATTCATACGATACCTGAATACCTTCATTACACAGTGTTTCATTCGATAAGCATGTACTTTTATCAATCACATTTACGAACTCCCTAACCCACTCTGTTGGATCCAAAATATGGCCATTTAGTCATACATGATTGACCATTTTCTGTCCAGAGATTTAACGGTCCCGTAATCAGGCCCAATGCTGTAAGTAAAAAGATATCACTGAAACATGCACACGTTATGATATTGCTGTTTTGCTATTTTGTGGCGATGTACGTGGTAATGGAAATGTGCTCTTGTTTCAGGGATGATATATTTAACACTTCTTTTCTAATTATCTGTTTCATTTGATTTTAATACTACATGTAATTTGATTACAAAGAAAGAAAAACACGAAGAAAAACATGTTTAGACAAATCTAGAAATAGAATGTATCTTTCCATGTTCTACAACCAAGACACTTGGTCAGTGTATTAAAATATAAGGTGGATTTTGCGAGGGTGAAGAAAGACAAAAGAGGCGAGCCTCCAGCGCTTTTGTCTTTCTGTCCTGAACGCAATTGGAGAGACTTTCTACTTGATGTTCGACGGACAGGCAATTGGTAAACACATTACAAGTATTGATGTGATTGAAACGGTTGACTTGGTACTAATTGAGTTATAAAGTATTAAAGTATATCGAATTTTTTTCTGGATGATAAAGATTATTTTCATTATCCAAGTGGTCGTTTTAAAATAGCAAGAAAATAAAAACGAAACCAAGTGAAAATAAAACTGGAATCTATTTTTGTTTTTTTCGTTTCATTTGATTTCGTTAGGAAATGCAAAACGTTATATCTGTTTCTCAGTTTAGAAATATTGATAGATTCTTGTATCTTTATAAAATGAAATAAAGGATTAACCAAAAATTTATTTAATCGATAAAATATTACTGGTGTGGGGACGGAAGAATGGAGTTATCACATCAACATGCCCATCCCTCCATACAAGTAAAGCCTCTCGTATTCCTCTACAAATTTATACACCTGCATGTAGCTCTAAACAGTGATATCCTTATCCCTCTAACCCATGGTACACGACACGGACAACCACTACAACTACATACAAATCCAGTCATCAACAGTCAACTCCTGTTTTCCATTCACCATCATACAGTTAAACTTTCTCCCCATTACAATCAGTCAAAGCATAACATTACAAGAATTCAAAACAAAAGGAAAACAGATGGAAGTCACCCGCAAATACCGAAACTAATCTAAAAGAAAAAGATTAACACGAAGATGCATGAAAAAGACAGAAAATAAGAAACCACGAGTTCCGGAAGAATAAGCTTATTCGGCTTCATCGCCATGTGATCTTGGTCAATCCAAGCAAGTGATGAAATATTGTTAATGAGAGAATGGTGTAGAACGACGGAACTAACAACCAAATAAACGAGCATCAAACACGCCCAGCTTCAAATCGCACCAAGAAATAGAATATTTCTCAATGAGATCTCGATGACGAACGTAGATTGTTTTGGAAATGTTTGCTTAATTTTGAGTGTTTTTTTCAGACATAGTGTCAATAACAATACTGGGTAAGTAATTGTCCAACACCTTTGAAAAGCGAGGAAAGAAACTTCAAATTACTAGCGTTGTTATTTAATCAATTATAACGGCCATTGTTCCTTGACGTATATTCTACTCTAGGGTTGTCAACATGTTTCCCATCGTACCTTGGTGTATACCCTACTCTAGGGTTGTCAACATGTTTCCCATCGTACCTTGGTGTATATTCTACTCTAGGGTTGTCAACATGTTTCCCATAGTACCTTAATGTATACCCTACTCTAGGGTTGACAACATGTTTCCAATTGTACCTTAATGTATACCCTACTCTAGAGTTGACATCATGTTTCCCATAGTACCTTGGTGTATACCCTACTCTAGGGTTGACAACATGTTTCAACATGGGTTGTCAACATGTTTCCCATAGTACCTTGGTGTATACCCTACTCTAGGGTTGTCAAAATGTTTCCCATATTACCTTGGTGTATACCCTACTCTAGGGTTGTCAACATGTTTCCCATAGTACCTTGGTGTATACCCTACTCTAGGGTTGTCAACATGTTTCCCATAGTACCTTGGTGTATACCCTACTCTAGGGTTGTCAAAATGTTTCCCATATTACCTTTGTGTATTCCCTACTCTAGGGTTGTCAACATGTTTCCCATATTACCTTTGTGTATTCCCTACTCTAGGGTTGTCAACATGTTTCCCATATTACCTTTGTGTATTCCCTACTCTAGGGTTGTCAAAATGTTTCCCATATTACCTTGGTGTATACCCTACTCTAGGGTTGACAACATGTTTCCCATATTACCTTGATGTATACCCTATTCTAGAGTTGACAACATGTTTCCATAGTACCTTGATGTATACCCTACTCTAGGGTTGACAACATGTTTCCCATAGTACCTTGATGTATATCCTACTCTAGGGTTGACAACATGTTTCCCATAGTACCTTGATGTATACCCTACTCTAGGGTTGACAACATGTTTCCATAGTACCTTGATGTATACCCTACTCTAGGGTTGACAACATGTTTCCATAGTACCTTGATGTATACCCTATTCTAGAGTTGACAACATGTTTCCATAGTACCTTGATGTATACCCTACTCTATAGTGTTTCCCATAGTACCTTGATGTATACCCCCATAGGTACCTTGATGTATACCCTACTCTAGGGTTGACAACATGTTTCCATAGTATCTTGATGTATACCCTACTCTAGGGTTGACAACATGTTTCCCCATAGTACCTTGATGTATACCCTACTCTGGTATGATGCCTGTGACGTAGCAATTCACAAAGAAAATGTTGTCCACAGTAATTTTATCTGCCCACGTTCGTATAAACACATCAAAATGTCCTTTTGACATTCTTCACACAACGTTTGCTGGATGTATAAACTAATCTACGCATCTTTGCATTTTCTCATTGCGTTTTGGTCATTGCATAAACCTATTTTCGCTTGGTATTATTAATTTTGTAAGTCTGGAAAGGGGAATTCAGACTTCCTTGAAAACCCCATCCCAAAGCCTACTCTAAATCCGCCTATGAATAACAATAGACAAATCAGTCACGTTATTACATTAATCCTTAATGCTTAACAACTACGTAATCGACAAAATGAGTCACGTAATTGACGACATAAATCAAGTGATTAACAATACAAACCATATAATAAGTAATTTTAATGATCTGATTAACAATAGAAATTATCTACAATACCTTTTTTATTTAAATACAAACCACGCGTATTTTTTTTACAAAAGTTGATTAAATAACATTTTGAAATTTTACTGAGATAATTCACATAAATGTGATTCACATTGTCCCATGTCTGTACACTCATCTCCTAGTCTCAACATCACAACATATTACCACCTTGTCACCAGGTTGTACAGGAGAACAACGTCACAGTCCATCTGTGTCAGGAAAAGTTTAGTCGTCTCTCGCTGAAATCCAATAGCGTAAGGGTTCCTTATGCCGTCTTTGGCACTCAATAGTACCTTGTTGAGTTTACCGTCCTTTGTGAGTTGGTGGACATTATTTGAATCCATCCCACATACATACAAATTGTTCTCGTGATCGCGTGCAATTCCACGCGGAGAGCGTAAATCGGGGTCCCGATACTTGAAAACGTTTGTTCCGGACAAGCTTCTTGATGTTGTACCGACTTTGTCTGTAAAAATGATGTTTTTGCAGTCAGTCACAACATATCTCGTACCACGTTCCCCCAACGGATGAGTGCTCTGTACCTTTCCACACGTGTCAAGCACGCGTATTTCGTTAGAACATGCAGTCAATAATGTTTCTTCCACTAGTTGAATACCGTGACATCCTGTTCCTACCTCCATCGTTTGACCACTGAAAGCAACATCTCCTTCATGATTCAACGTCAAAAGATTGATGGTAGACTCCTCTGGGACGGTAACTGCTAATTCTCCACTTTGAAGCTCACAAATATCCCAAGGCTGACTACGAAGCTCCAGTGATGACACCATGCTACCGGATTCATTGAAACATTTTATTTTTCGGTTTCTGTAGTCTGCCAAGACGAGAAACCCTGTAGATGTAAACAGTCCTCCAGTAAACCAACAGTGGTTTGAGTCCATTGGACACTTCCCGTTTATTTCTAAAATCTTGTCAATGCGCATGTCTTTCATATAAGCCGGAAGTATGTTATTTGGTGCTCTCAGGATGTTTATTCTTCCGATAGAGAGAACGTTTTTAGTGAACTCATTGATGACGTCATTAACCACAAATTCATAGTTGTAGTTAAAAACCTTGCTGCTCTCGGATTTCACGAACTCCTCATGCTCTTCGCATCTTTTCCGGAGTTTTTGTGTGGAGACATAAACCTCACTATCCGTGCCCATAGCTTTAGATACAGCAAGAACTTTCTTCCCGTTGTCGGCTGCTTTGTATACATATTCAAAGTCCTTGCTTTGGAGGTTTAGCTTTTCAACAACTGCTCCGTGCATTTTTGATAATTCTTCATTCAGTTTTGTTTCCATCTGTTGAAGAAGTGATTCGATTTCATCTCGTAAAGATGCGACGTCTGATAAAATGGTCTCCCTTTTACGATCAAGTTCTTCAACTGTGCTTGACCGACTGTTGATGACTGCAAGAGCATGATTTTCCACCCATTTTAATTGATCAGCCACTGCCTTGATGACGCCACTGTCTCTGATTCCCGCGGAGATCTCACCCAGCGACCTAACCTTCGGACATTTCTTGTGCTCGTGTGTGACGCAATCCAAACAACACAGGCAGTCATGGTCCTGGCAGAAAGCCTCCACAATTTTCCCAGCGTGGGTCTGGCAAAGCTCTCCAGTCTCCGCCATCTTTGACGGTTTGTTCCTGATGTCATCTAAATTAAGAACAGTATGGTCCATCAACACTTTCATTCGTTGATGATAGATGACACATTGTTCACACAGAGCTTCACCACAATCGTAACACCATGACAATGCGGTCGTGACAGCATCTCCTCGCGCACAAGGAACGCAGTTTTTTACCTCCGCTAGAGAAACACGTTCTATGAGTGTCATCAGCAGAATGCTGTTTGGAATCAGTGGTAGCCAAGAGTCAACCGGAATATCTGAAACTGGAAGTTTCGTCGTAGTCCGACAAGACGGACAATGGAAGAAACAATATGTCTGTTCGTCCGCTGGAATACTCTTGAAGAAGGCCAGGAGGCATGTTGAACAAAATGAGTGCATGCACTGGAGCGTCTTCGGTTTCACAAGCACTTTATCACACAATTGGCAAACAATGACATGTTTTTCGTAGTTCGCTGGTAAATCCATTTCTCTAAAATCACAGTTGAGCAATAGGTGATATACTTGGTGAAGCCCGTGGGATAAATAGTAGTGTCGCCTTTCCAAATCGTCTACATTTTATCTGTAGTGAGAGTCGTTGCCAAAGGATGAATATCACCTGTTGTAGATTAATCCTGTAAAAATTCAATGTCAAAGTTTGAAAATTAAAAAAAATGATTTAAAATGCAGATGCGAACCACTTTTCCTTGTATCCATTTGAAAAGTTATTGATAAACCTCATGAAGAAACATATTTCTATAATCTAGTGGACCAAGAATCCTTTGCTGAGTTAGACACGGCAGGTACAGTCAGTAAGTAAACTCACCATTTATGCAGACCAAACTTATCTAAGTCAATGTATTGAACTGTTTGAATTACAATTTGGGCACACGACCAACATTGAAATTAAACATTGGAGCTAGATCGGTACGTGTAAATACTAGATTTTCAGCAACATCCATGACAGCTTAACCACAGTTGGAAAATTCGTCCCCTAATACCATGAAATTCTAGTTCCTATATTCCGCATACAATTGAAAAATGGGAGAAACATAACTACTACCTAGTTACAAAACAATTGAAAAGAACAAAGCATTGCGAGGCACGCGCGGAGAAATGCTACCATATTAAATAAATTTGATTGTTTTTGTGTATCATCTTATTTGAGGGGTTGACAGGTGGAGGGGGAGGGGGGAGGGACATATGGTTTGATGCATTGTTCCAAGGATTTTTTTTACATGTTCAATGTTGAGAATTCAATTAGTATATGAAGTAAATGCTTGTTAACCGCAGAAGAGAAAATAGCGACCGTTAAGCGGACTATACAGTAAGGAGTTCGCTTGGTCTACTACATATCCTGTCGCTTGTATAAAGAAATGTGAAAAGTGTCGGCATTTGAATGGAATTCAGTCGATATTGCTTGGTAAACGATAAAACATACGTGCATGTCTGATGTTATAGCTACACGTTCCACATCAATGGCTGGTTTAAATTAAGGTAACACGTCCCGTCTATATGGTTAAGTCTTCAGTGTTATTTATCAATGATATTAACCCTTTTTTTCACTGAAACGTAATGAAACATATAACCAAATATCGATTTAACTCAAAGATGCTATTTTTGTATCATAGTAGTAATTCATGCTGGCTTCTGGGCCGTTTAAAATCATTTAAAGGGAGAATACAAAATATTATGTATCCTGGTGTGTGTGCATCGATGTAAATTCAATAATCCATTCCGGCTTGTTCCCGAAGTAGCGACGTTTGTGGTGTTAGGTGCCGTCGGAAAAACAACACAGGTTTTCAAGAGATGCAGGTTTATGAAGAAAATGGAAATGTTTTACGGTCTTCATAGTGATCTCATCAAAAATATTACATTTCTTTTTGTGATATAAAGCTGGACGTTTTTGATGCTCGTTAGTTTACCAGTTGGTTCCGCTGTTCTATATCTTGTTCTCGTTTAGGAACGTGACATTACTTGCATCAATTGACCAAGATTTACATGGCTATTGTCGTCGATGAAGAAGAAGACACCTACTCTCCTGGAACACCTGGTCTTTTCTCTTGTATTTTTCAGGAGGTAACAGTTTAAATCTTTCCTATATATATAAATCTGGTTCTAATTTTAGATCCTGACATTAATTGGGTTGACCACGGCTTACTTGGTTTGACTAAAATTCACATGACGGGTGTCGCCGATGAAGCAGAAAACGCCTACTCTTCCGCAACACCTGGTGTTATTTTCCATATACTTTTTTCGTGTTCTTTCTTTTGAAATTATTTTACAATAATATTTATCTACTTATTTGTTTTGCCAGCAATAACTAATCACTTCAAAATGCATATACATGAACTCCGACCAAACATTATTTATTTATTTATTTATTTATTTATTATTTATCTATTGTTAAACAAAAACGGCAGGTAACAATTAATGTTATATAGAAGGCTGGGGGTCGTACATTAGTATATGCATATTATAAATTTAATGTGTAGCTAACTAGTGGTAGTTAACTACATGCACACAACTTTTTTTCTTCCAGAAGTATTAATGAAGTGTTCAGAATACAATCAATTTTGCCTGATAATCTAGACCCATTCAAACTCAGATATAAGCATAACTTAAACAAACACATGGTATTTGAATTGTTTTTTTTTCAGTTAGTCAATCAGATTGTGTCAAAAGACTATAGATTTTAAAATACAGGTTACCTCCCCTTCCTCAACAAAATCGCATTTATTTTCAGTTGACGAGCTAGTGTCTTAACTTAGAGTACAAAGGACTAAAATAAAAATTTATAAATTACCCAAATTTCTATTTCTGAAATGGGCTATAGCCTTTACCTGGTGAATTCCTTTTTAAGGTACATGTATTTGGTCAAATCTATTCATAAACCATTCTGTACAGTAAATGTCTTATTCCTATATTTCATATTTAGTGACGAGCTACACAAATTTTCTCTAAAACATATAATTTGATATATACATAAAAATACTTCAATATATACAGATATAACACGACACAAAGAATAATGTATTCATTATTTGTTTATTTCAAATCCTCACACATGACATTATGTTACCCTGTATGTTTAGAACAAAAAGATGTGTAGAAGCTATAAGCCCAGAACAAAATCTGTTTTGCTAGCAAACTTCTATCTCGATCATCATCATTAGTATTTCTATGTTAACAATGAAGTATATTTCTGGATAAATAGAGTATTGCACATCATGTTGAAACAATTTGATCAATTATACACATTTCAATATCAACACATCAAATAAAATTTCAGTTCTGAAAAATACACATTCATTAATTGTTTAATTAAAAATATACAAGTCATCTTTTGAAGAAAAGCACCATGACAAAACAAGAATTTTAAAAATAAAATAATTGAATTATTTTCTTTTAAAAGTTGACTTATTAAGTAAAGAATGTGATTCATTATTTAGAATTATATTATTTTTTTTGCATCTATGTATAAATACTTTTTGCAAACCACCAGAGTACAACTTGATCTGAAATTTCAATTACAAATTTCTGCAGTATTAACAATGTTTGTTATCCTCTTTTTGCTGACATTAGGGAAAGTCAATCCGGTTTTTTTAAATCAAGTACATACATGGTCACTGAAAAAATTGTGGATTCAACCAATTAAAAGGCTTCTTACAATTCTGTAAAAAACCTTTTTAAGCACTTAAATATCTGCAATATTTTATTTAAACACGATGATGGGAATGGGACGTTTTCATTATACTGATGAAAATAAGAGATGCTTAAATAGCACAAGAAATTTGTAGAGATCAAATACATTTCACAGCGATATGAATGCTACAGATCAACACAACACCATAACAGATTTACAACAGGGCTTATATACAAGTCTGTTCCCCATGTAATAATACAATGATTACATTATGCACATATACTGTATATAACTTACTTTGCCGAATATCTTAGCAGTTCTGCAACATCAAATGACATAGAAATATATAAATCATCTTCACAAAACACGAAACATCTGCATTCTTAGAATGCTACAATCACATAAAAAGTAAACATTTTGAGCACCATTATTTTGTGACAAAATTCTGCAATTATTTTCTTTTCCGTCAATCCATATTTGTAAGTGTAGATTTTGCAGTCATTTTCCATGAATAACCCACTGTCAAAGGGAGGTAACTAACTAAGCTTTGTAGTTTAACAGCCTTCAGCATCACACTTGACCATGGTCATTTTATACTTGATTAAGCTTTCCTCTCATAGAAACTTGTATCATAATCAGTGCTGTTTAAACTGACTGTCAAGCTTTCTTCTTACACAGACTCCAACAGCACCATGGTATGTTGCTGATAAGCTCTGTTATTACAGAGACTCATTTGAGTGTCAATGATCTTGATCATTGATTACAAGCATTCCTCTAACTCATCACTGGGCATGGTTCTTTAAACAATCCAAAATACTATGCTTTCTGGCGATACAGAGTTACCCACACACAATGCCATTTTCAAGCTTTGTTCTAACACAGACTTGCCAGAGTCACAGGTACATTACAATCAACCTCTGCTTTAACACAGATTATGTAGTGTCACAGGCATATTAAGACTTATAAGCTTTGTCCTTACAAAGAGCCAGTGTCACATGTAGGCTAGTCAAGCTCTGTTTTAACACAGACTATCAAGTGTCACATGTAGGTAACAGTCAAGCTTGGTTCTAACATGTACTAGCCAATATCACAAGTTGGTGAAAATGAAGCTTTGTTTTAGCACAGTCTTGTCAGTGTCACAGGTAGGTTACAGTCAAGCTCTGCTCTAACACAGACTTATCCAGTGTTACAGGTATGTAATAATCAAGCTCTGCTCTGATAAAGACCTGTTCAACTGAGTACCGGAAGAAGTTAATAAATCCCAAGAAACAGTTTTTGGCATCTTATGTTGGTAGTTTAAGTCACTCTGTTTCACCTTATTGTCTATCTGACCTTTATCATCAACATCAGTTCCTTTTGAATTTTGACTTCCTTGATTAGCCACACCCCTTCTTGACCTTTGACCCCAGTCTTGAATAGTGACATCTGCCTCATCATCCTCTTCCATCATCTCATAAAGTTCTTTGAGACTAGTGAGGGAGTTGGATTCCTGAGCTAGTTTCAAGGATTCTGGAGGACTCTTGCGCTGCTCAACCTTCGCATAAAGATCCTCAATAGCCATCACAGTGTGGTGACCATTGCTAACAAGACTAGAGTTTCTATTTGGAGGGTGTGGAGGGGGAGGTCTAGTTGGAACAACCTTTCCCCTTTGGCCATTCACCTGTATACTTGAGTTCTTGTTGGGAACACTTGGGTTATGGTCTGATGGCAAAGGTGGTCTGGGTGGGGGAATCTTCTTACTTGTTTTAACTGGAGGGACAAAGGCCTCATGAGGAGGGGGTGAAGGGGCTAATCTATTAACATGAGGGGTTGGGGATGTTGCTCTTTCTGGAATTGGGGGAGACGAAGGTCTCTGAGAAGGTAACGGTGGTGATGGTGCTTTCCTCGACTTCCTGGGTTTGTAAGCTCTCCAGTCTATCAAAATCTCATTCTTTTGAAATTTGGATGGGACTGTTCTTGGGGGTAGGTAGGGTTTAGGGGGTGCAGGTGCTGGATGCTTTTTTGGTTCCTTTTTTGTTCCTTTGTAACCACTGACAACAGATAAATCTTCCTCTTGTACGTCCGGAACAGGAACTTCAGATTTGAACACATGTACAGCAGGGTCACTATCCGTGCTACCTCCCAGGTACATCGGAAGGTCATACATTTCTGTATTTTCAGATTCAAGTTTGGTTGTGTCCCTTAGATCAATTTGTTCATTACCAGAAAGGTCGTATGTGTCTATGACAATTATTTCTTCTCCATTGTCATATTTCACACATTGCTCTACATCTGAAACTTCAATTATTTCTTCTGTAAATGCCATTCCACCTTCAGAGTCTTCTGACCGAGAAAATCTTCCAATTTCTCTTATATCAGGAAATTTCACACTTTCTTCAGAGTTTGTGAAATTGAACACTTGCTCCATAGATTCTGTTACAACATGCTGGTCTTCTTCTACAGACTTGTAATCCTTTTGTCCAGTTGATGATATTTTTGACATGTTTACATCCAAATGATCTTTTTCTTCCCTCCTTGTCCTTTCTTGTGACAATCTTTTTGATGGAATAGGTTTATTCTTTTTCGATGACCCTCTTCTGATGGTTCCATCAGATAATGACACTCTTTCATCAAGTCGTCCCTCTCCTGCAGGCTCCAGGTCTTCATCAGAACCTTCATTGTCACTATCTGCTCTGTGTTTTTGACCTTTTGACCTCCGTGCATCAGGAACAGACACTCCAAATTCTGCTTTCTTTGGTAAGGATGCCGTTCTATGAATGAGAACCTCAATGCTATGTGACGATGTCTTAGCTTGAGGCTCAAACTGTCGGATCGAACCACTCACAGGGACAGACTGAGTTGAGTCCATACTGTCAATACTAGCTCCTCGACTCTTTGATCGCGCTAGCTGCATCTGATGAAACAAAATGGCATCTCTGTCTATGTCAAATGGCTGGTTATATTCTTTTTGAAACTCAATGGATTCTGTTGAGACTGGTCTTGATACAGGACCCATGAAAGGTTCATACTTGGGTCCAGTATCAACACATGGAGATGGAGGTTTCACGATTTCTCTACCCAAATGGTAGGCATTGTCACCCAGGTATTTACCTCCTTGCTGTACCCAATTAGAATCAACCTGGTCCACAGCTGGACCAAACTCAGCATCCAAATCCTCCCCGAGCACCATCTCTATCTCCTTGTCTTTAACTTCACTTGTCAGCCGCTGCTGTAGAAGCGATTCCCAATTCGTGGAATTCACAGAACCACTATTAGAATCTGAGCTCATGCTTTTTAGACTAACATATTCTCCACTTTCCTCAGCACCTTCCTCTACATTAAACACCTCTGTGACTTGTTTCCTCTGTTGCCGTTTTGCCTCTCGTAGCTTCAATATGTCCATTGGTACAGCATCTTCCTCTTGAGCTTTTCGTGCTTTTCTCCTTCGCCTCTCTTCATCCCGAGCGGCATCTCTTTTAGCAATCTCACTTAAAAGTTCTTGTTCATATTTGAATTGTTCCTCGAGGATGTCTTTCATCCTGAGGCGTTCAGCATCCGACAAAAACAGCCGAACAACAAGGACTCCAATACTTTCCTTGGAACCATATCCCTGAGCTAAATCCTGGAGGCGTTTTGCCGCCCGAACAGGGTCAGGAATATCTATGATTTCATCAACAGCTTCCTGGTATGACATGTACTTCCAGAGACCATTGTTGGCGATGATGATGAGCTGGTCGTCTTGTCTGAGGTTGACACAGGTGATGTGAGGGTCTGGAAGAACTTGTGGGTATAAATAGCTACAACCGAGTAGTCGTGTATTGAACGTCACTCCACTTACTCTGCCATCCTGCATAAAACAAAAGAGAACTGATATAGAACGAATCATGGACATTCATCCTAGTTTTTATCTCATGTAATTGTTCTAACTCGTCAAATCCTACCAAACTATGATGCAAAATGTACAAATAGGAAATCAAACACATAAAACTATATATCTTTCATATTTATTGACCCTTAATAATTATGCAGTACCAGTGAACATCGCCCTTATTTATCCTGCAATAAGCCCAGGGCCCAACATGTTACAATCTTACTTAGTCAGGGGTGGGCGTATTACAGGACCATAACAAAAGAAAAATGGTTAATAAATCTACTGAACAGCACTACAGTTGTAAAGACACGTTGCCAAGTAAATACAGAAATACTCTTTTCAAAATTTTTAATTTTCCGATTAGATGTGGAAAGGTACAGGGCCATCTACCTAACCTAATCTGTTTTCCCTGGATGGTCCGCTCATGACAGGACCCCCAACAACAGCTTCCATCATGGTCAAAAATAGTTATCATTAATAGCCAATATTCTATAAAGTAAGTTATCCTCAATTCCAGCCAGATCTATAACATCCCAGTACCTCTGTGATGATGCCGTCGGATCTACAGATCCGCTGGCTCTCCTCCGTGTCTGACTGGATCAGAAAGAGACGTGACAGAGTCACTGCCTCACCACTACGACTGATGACCACCTCTGTGTCGCCTACATTAGCCACATTAAGCAGGTGATGTGTGTTAGTCCCCTCTGTGACCTTCTTGATGTGACAAAGAGCAGCAGCTGCTCCTACCTTCTGACCTGTACTCTTGAGCTTCCTGTTAAATTAAAAAATCATTTGAAGTGAATATCAAAAATATTCATGAAGTCACCCTGTCTTTAAAACTACAATCAAAATTACATAATAATGTTATTTGCTCCCAAAGGCTACAATCAAATTAATAACAGAAAAACAAATGTTTTCTTTTTTTTGCTTACTACTTAATCTATTGCTAATACAATTTTGAAAGTCCTTTTTCCAAGAACCTTTTTTCAAGTCTCCGTCTGTATGATATTAATCACTTCCATGTTTTTTAAAAATCTGACTAACCTAGCTACCTATGATACAAAACTAAGATCAGATCTAAATCTTTTATTTAAATATACATCATATTTCCAAAAAGGAAATAAGACAGCATGTATTTAGCAATAAGCATTTCAAATTATTGATAAGCACTTTTCATGGTCAGAAGGTGGGCTTATTACTGAACAAAAATATATATTTATCAGTAATCCTATATATCATTTTTTGTAATAAACTCACCTCCCCACTTAAACCAAAAATTTCCAATTATTTGCCATCTGGACTTTTAACATGAAAAACACTATAGAAACAGAAGCGTAACCATTGGAATATCTTTTTACAACAAGGGTATAGAAGACGTACGTATGAGCTGCCAGCATGGTGTACTTCATGCAGAGTTTCTGTGAGGAGATCGTCTTGGACTCGGCTAGCAGGGTATCACATATGATGTCACCTAAAATCTTGGTCACCTCATCGTTTCGACCCCCATCAAACATCCCGAACAACCCCTCCACTTCGTTGGTGAACTTTGGTTTGTTCACAATGGCCACAGATAGCCTAAAAAACAAAACACAACCATGATTACATATTCATTACTTCCACATTTTTCTGGATGCAATGAAAATGCATATGTTTCATATTTGTTTGAATCCACATTGTCAGGATTCAACATAATTTATAAACAAACAAAAAAAAACATGCAAAAATGAATACTTGAATATACATTTTAACAAATTTACTAAACGTCTGGAGTTTGAGAATTCAACCTATAAAGTCAAACTTTTGATATTTAGAAATTTTCTGTATATTTGTATCTCATGTAAATTTGTCTACTAATTTCTCACTTGTTTCTCATGCCAGAAGTCTGAGACAATCCCGACTGCCAGGGCTGGTTTACATCATCAAATGGAGCTTGTCTCAGATCCAGGAGAGATCGGTTCTGTCCCCTCATGTCTACCATACTGATCTTCTTCCAGTTGCTGGAACAGAAAATGGGTCGTTAGAAGATGGTAGGTTCTTTGAAGAGTAAGTAAACTTTGTTTTTACATCGTAACAATTTACTTCAGTTAGTACCTAGTCAGCTTTGTTATGTTTTCTGCTGAGAAATATCATCAACTTGCTGATAATCGGCACCTCATTTAAAACCCACAGATAACATAGCACAAAGGCTGTAGGATCTGACACAGTTTTCTTGAACTGTTTAATAATATTTCTATAAAACAAAAAATGATGTTTCTATCACATCAAGATCACACTCCACTGCAAGTATAACCTGATGGGACTGCATGTTCAACCATCTCCCCAACACACTCTGCTTCATCAAGAAATCTTGAACCATCGTTCAATAATTTAAACACACATTGATATTTCAGCCCTACAGTATTATTGCCCATACAGCAATGCCCTAGAACTTTTAAAACATGACCCTACCCCTCCATTCCAGATTCTTTTGTCCTATTTTTGACATAGGAATTTATAAAAAGATTGGCTCCCATTCCCAGCACCCCAAAACTTCTAATACATAGAACTCATTTCAAGGTACTTGTCCTAAGACAATATCCAGGTAACGTTTTTTCTCTTTTTCTCCGACATGTTTACCACACTTACCTGATACCCTTGAGCTCTCCGCTGTCCACCATCAAGTTCGGGTTACCAGAGATATCCAGTAGGTGTACCTGAGATCCCATCAGTTTACTGACAGGTAACTCTGACAGACGATTTGATCCTACGTCCAGTATCTGTACAACATATCCAAACATAATATTTATTCACTAATACGCTCATGTCTGTTAATAAGCCCACCCATACCTATACTGATTGTTGAAGAGAACAAACAAAAGCTTCAGCAGTGCTATTCATTACCTTACACCTATACTCCTAGTACCAGATAATGTGTTTGCATCTGGTTGATGATACAAAAAAATCAATGAAAGTTTCCAGTATATGTTTCCCCTTAAAACAAAATATATTTTCATGACTGTCAATTAAAACCTGTCTGTTTCCCCCCTTAAAATTAACAATATTTTAATGGCTGTCAATTAAAATTTGTCTCTTTCCCCCTTAAAACAAACAAAATCTTAATGGCTGTCAATTAAAACCTGTCTCTTTTCCCCCCTCAAAACAATTCTATAATCATTAAATTCTTAAGTAAAAATTACGCACAGCCCTGATGCTAAGTTATTCCTTAAATTAAGACCATGTCTACATGAGATTAGTTTTCTTAACATAATATGCCCAGTCAGCTCCATGAACTTATCATTATACCTTGAGGCTGGGTGACTTTTTGAAGTCAGGTATTTCCTTGAGGAGGTTGGCATTCACTCGGAGACACTGAAGCTTGGGATGTTTACACAGTGCAGAAGGAAGGGAACGTAATAGGTTCCCGGATATGTTAAGTTCCTGCAGCACCTCCAGTCTGTTAATGTCTCTGTAATAAGAACAATTTTGAAATTAACATACCAGAAAACATAATTTTCCTAACTGAAATCTATTCTAAGTGAAGAAATATCAAAACGTCTCATGTCTTAATGAAAATCTCAAAATTAATAAATACTTCAGAGAATTCAGCAGGCAATTTATAGAAACAAAAGTATTTCTAGTCAAAATAATTCACTTTTTTAAAATTTGAGTCATACTTTGTCAAAATTATATAAAACTCAAATGAAAAATTGTCTTTCAACAGATATAGGTAAAGGGGCATAACTCCTTCAAAAACGATCAAAATGGTAAAATCAATTACATTTACAAAAGCTGTAGTTACATTGTTAAAACTAGTCATTAAAACATCAACAATGACTTTGAAAATGCAAAACTCTCAACAAAATGGTAATCAGTAATCTGATGTGCTTTAATAATGACAATACTAAACCTCATATCTCTTCATGAATTATTTTAATGCAGTAAAACTTTGCATAATTAAATAGGTAGTGTAGGATCATTAAGTTAGGTGTTTAAAGTCATGGCCATTATTACTTTGGGTGGTAATGATACAATTTAATAGGCTCCTTGCAATTTTATGGGGTATATAAAAGAAATTAATGGCTTTTGCAAATATTGAACAAAATCATTTTGTAAATGCAAGGTATCACAAAACCAGGAGATTACCTGCTATGGAGGTCAGTGATGTTATTGTGGGCAATATGCAGCACCTTGAGTCGAGGAAATGTACATGCAAAGGGGAGTGCTGCATTTCCCAAGTTATTTCCCGACATAAACAGCTCCTGCATCCTGTTTACGCCATCAGTGTGGGGAAAGGGTGGCATATCCTCCAGCTGGTTCATCGTCACATTCAGGTACCGCAATCTGGGAACACATCACAATAAGTAAACCACTATTCTAGTCCTGGAAGGTGAATACTTAAACAATACTTATCTACCATTATTTTGGGAATCTGTCACATAAAGATCTCCAACTCCTTCAGTCTTTGCATTCATATATTCAAAAGTACCATTTTCCATATGTTTGTTATCAAGGTTTACATTTTGAGACTCTGCATGTAGTACCACTGAACAACATACTGGAGGCCCATCACATTCAAAGTACTTGCCCAAGGACACAACCATGAAAGCACGGACTGATTTGTTCCTCTTTTGGAAAAACTGCTTGACAAGTAACATCCTATTACAACTCTCAATCTACCATCCAAGAAAGCCAAGACCCATCACTCCCCTTTTGCTTTTTCAAATTAAGATACAAGTATTGGAATTAAATAAATGTGTTAATTCCTTTATTAATCTCTAGATGTGAAATATAAAAAAAACGAAAGAGAAGAAAAAATCTTTGTGTTTTACGATAGCCTGAAGTGATGATGGCCTATTGTTTTGTGTACTCTACCTGGACGCGCGACAGAGGAGTTGTTGAGGAAGAACCGCAAGGTCATTGCACTGTAGGTGGAGCTCTTCTATTGCTGTAGACTCCATCTCTAATGGCAGTTCGGATAAACAGTTATGTCCCAGCATCAGTATCTTTAACTTCTGGGCGTTCACAAACAGCCTGAGACAAAAAACACACCATCAATTATCAATGTACAATAATATTTACTTTCAACAAAGATTTAAGTCTCGTCACAATAAAATGATCACATGAAAAATCGCAAAGAATGAACCTCACGAACTTTATCTTTAACCTTCAAATAAAAAGGTCAAATTCAAAGACTACTTTGATCTGATGTTGAAATAAATTCCATACATTTGATCCAGGAACATAATAGTATATCTTGGATTTCTCAACAGCATATGTTCACTTTTCCAAGAATTTCCTTCATTCAATCCCTCACGCAAACATCATACTGTTTTATCATATTTTTTGAAAACCAAAACTTACTTATTTGGGAGTTTTTGCAGCTTGTTGTGACTGGCGTCTAGCTTTACCAGAAAAAAGCACTCCGACACCCAGGGAGGTAGGACCATTAGTTTATTGCTGAAAAGAAACAGGAACATCAATACCAGGTTATTGAATTTGAATTTATCATACATACATTTAAAAGAAAATTCATAATAATTCTTGAACAGGGTATGAGCCCTATGAAACAATTGTAACTTTACTGGCATATCAGACCTATACAGGAATTGTAATACAATTGATCAGTAACTGATCTAGCACTTCTGGGGATAGGGAGTAGTGTTGGCCCATATTTTGGAGGTTATAAGTTTAAATTCTCAGATATGATTTTTTTCATTTCCATTGCAAATACAAACGATAAGGAATTCAGATATTTCACAAAAAACATATGTCAGTTAAAGACAGCATAAAAAATCAATAATACGCAATTATCAAAACTATCCAATAGAGGCCCTACATCCCCGATGAATCGTTATCTTAGAACGAAACCCCAGACAGACTTTTGAGTGGAATCTAAACACAATCCAGCCGGCACAGCAGTCTCCTCTTTTGTCATTTGCTACAACAATATATTTGGAAAGAAAACTCTGTTCAAACACTTACCGAGCTATTTCTAAATTGACTAGCCATTCTGGTTTTGGATTGATGGAAAAAGTCTGCAGTTCTAAAAGACAGAAATTCATATTATTATTATATATATGTAATACCTTGTCAGTTCCCTAATGCTTTCCCTGAAATCTTTACGTATTGAAACAGATATATTTTTACACTTATTAGTGTCTGTTTTGTTTATCCAACATGGAGAACATCTTGCCGACAAGATCAAATTCACCAACAACATGTAATGAGGTTTTGTTAGTGTTATGCTCTACCAACACAGCTTGTCTCCTCAGAGAACAAAATAGTCCAACACAGAGATAAACACTCTCAATCAGATGAAGACACCATAAAGTTCTTCAGTTACACAATAGTACTGATGAAAACTTACGAAAAAGTGTTCTAAAATGTTTGTAAACAAAGCTACGAGCTGTCTTTGACTGTATGCATCTCATGTGACCCTTCATACCCATGACAGAAGAAAAAAGAACATTATTTACAAGCCTCTATTTCTACAATACAAATCAAGTCATATGTTCTGTGAATACTGTATCGCAATTATTGCCCAGTTTCTGTGAAAATTCTATCATGGTTGTTATCATATTTTCCCTGATTACAGATAATCGGCATTAATGATACAATGATATATTCAATTCCACATCGCCCTTCCTAATGAATTTTATAGTTGACTACCATATTTGCACTATATACAAAGTCATGATAGTACAACCAAATACCTTTTGGTAAGTATCTATTCAATCCATGAAAAGTTTTGATTAAGTTTTTTGTGCAACAGTTTAAAGTTAATTCAACTACAACAAAGCTGGTCCTATCATTGTCCTCTAATTGCTGTGGGGCAAAGCATCATAAATATCATAATCAAAATATATATGATATTAATGAATTATATATGTATATATTATATATACACAAATGTATAAGTATGAGCTGAATGTATAATTCATATGATAACATTCTGGGTAAATCAATTAAGCCTTAAACTGCTGGCATTATTTCACCACTTACCATTTTTTGATGCAAAAAGATTTTTCAAAGACATTCCATTGATCTGAAGTGTGTGCATTGCATTTCTTTCACAATTTAAATATTCCAAAGCTTTCAGTGATCGCACATCCAAATCAGGAATATGATTGTCTCGCACATCTAGATGTGTCACATTTTCCAACATATGAAATTTGGCAGTTTCACTTGGGAGCAATGTAAGGCAATTCATCCGCAGGTCTATTTTTTTCACATGTCTCATTTTACTGAGAATTTCGTGAGGCAGTCTTTCCACACGGTTTCCAGCCATGATAACACTGTCTAGGTGCTGATGGAAAAAAGCCTGATGGGAATCCAACAGGATATCTGGGACTGTGGTAAAGTGGTTGAAAGCAAGAACGATGACCTTAAGTGACCTCATTTCACCCATGCTTTCAGGTAGGAATGTCAGATGGTTATTATGAGCATGCAGCATCTGTAAACTACAAATACAAGACATTTAAATGTATATCTGACATCATGGGTATTTTCTCATATTTGGGTTAAAGATTAATGTGTATCTTTAGTCAAACGCTCTACCCTCAAGAAAGCAGGCACAATTGCAATATTCTAGATGATAACAACTTTGACAAATTCTTCACTTCTCTTTCTGGGAATTTTAAAATCCCATCCATTTTTTTAAGTTTTTTTTTTTAATTTTGAAGCTTGCCTTCAATAACAGTATCTCATAGAGTTAATCTACATTAATACATTTCGACTTTAAGAAAAACATTGACTGATTGTAACAAATTCTTGATCACTTTTAAACTAAAAACTTGAAGCTGTGTCTGATTGATGGCAAGAACAATCTATTCTCATTTTCTGCTTTTTTTTTTGTTTTTAGTTTATTTTTCCTGCTATTTTTGGTTTTTTTTTATTATTACTTCTCAATAAAAAAACCTCCTTCCACTTTGTCAAATATCTCTTAACAATTTATAATGGTAGATACAAGGTTTAGCTGAATTTTACTTACTTGGAAAGATCGGATATTTCTGATGGAATTTCTGTGATTTTGTTACTCGCCACGTTGAGTTCTGTTAGAGTCCTCATCTTGCAAACGGCAATGGGAAAACACTGGAGATCATTGTCAGCCAAGTTCAGACTTCGAAGGTTGCTGAACCTAGAGACAGAAGAGGAAATAGTGATTATGATACTTAGGCCATGTCTGGTAATAAGCCCACCCATATCTTTTTCAGTTCTGCAGAAATGCAAATACATGCTATATTTCATTGCCTGTTATATGTCAACTTCTTGGATTTTTAGCAAATCCATCAATTATTAAGAAAAAAATATGTTTTATATATGCAATTGTTTAAAAAAAATAAAAGAATAGATTTGAAATTTCAAATGTCTTCTAAAAATTTCAAGGAGAATTATATTGAAAAGTAAACACCACCAGCTATGTAAAACCAGATAACAGAATTGCCATGATTGCAACCTCAAGATTACATAAAAATACATAAGCTTTTTCAATGCTGCTTCATCTTTTCTAGGATGTGAAGGAGGAATACCTGGGCAGGTCATCTAGCCAGCCAATGGTGTATATATCTTCCTCAATTGGCCTCTCTTTAAGGGCATTATGGCGGAGATTGAGGATACGTAGATCTTCGTTTATGAACACAGTCTCGGGTAGGAACTCTAAGTGGCAGTTAGACAAGTCTGCCTTTGATGGAAGCTTTGCTGTCGCCTAGAAACAAAACCAGGAATTGACATCAGAATTATAAAAAAAAACAATAAAAAATCATCCATTGATATCCTGACAACTTTGGGATTACCAATATTTATATAAAATTCAATGGATAATTATATACAAGTTTATTACTTTCAGCTTGTCATAGAGAACAAATATTTCCTGGATGCAAACTTTACCTTTTTCGTTTTCCTGATGAATTTTGAATAAGTGTTTTCATCAGAAAATGCCAGATACACTGATCTGTCACCTTGAAGAGTGGATGTCAATTTCAAGCAGAGTTCATGACCTTTGACCTGCACCTCTTCCACAGACCCCTTAGCCAATTGTACAACAGTTGGTTTTGAGTTCTTGTTTTTATCTAAAAAAAAAAACAAGAAAACAAGTCTTATATTTTGGTGAATTTGATAATTTTTTTCAATCTGCTTGTCTAATAACACTTGCAAATTGACATTGTATTGAGATATTGCAAATATGTGGAAATCACAGGTCCCAGCAATGGTGAAAATTCACGTAGTCTAACAGAACAATAAACTTTAATTATTTTACAAAAATAAGTTTTTTCCAACTTATATCAATCACTGTAAGAGGTAATTGAACTACACATAGGGAAAACTCATGTGGTCTTGAAGGTGACCCCATTTTCATGTCAATTCAAGGAATGGAACCAGGATATCTAGGTGAAAGGCAAGTGTGTTATCACCCAATCACCCATATATATATATATATACATTGCTCCCCGGGCTTATTACTTGATAAACCCTGTAATAACACTCACTTTCCCAATTCCATCGCTACAGAGCATGCAAGATTAAAAAAACAAACCTCAATGTTGAATTTTGATATTATTTCAATTTTTAGAGGGGAATAAAATGTACATACATAAATATCTCTATTAAACATTTTATTTTAATTCCCACCAAAAAATTTAGCAAAGGAATTCACTTGACCCTTTGAAGGTCTTTATAACTTGAATTACTTTTCAGAATTTCTTTTTTTCAATATCAAGAATCTAGAAAGAACACAAGGTGAACGTCCCCTACTAGCACAGGTATTTACAAATCAGGCAAACTGATGAGAAAAAACACAGGAACGGATACATCATATTTTCATTTAATCCTTTAAGAGTCAAAAGAGACTGAAGCATGAAAAGAGAAGAAGGTTATTTTCACCGACCCCTGGGTCAGGGCAAACACGATCAGAACAAATGGGACAATGGCTTCGACACTGATATCAAACTTATAACCTCATTAAATTTCATGACTCTAGTGTGAGAAAATTTCCGAGTGGAATGTGTATATATGTATTTCAGATAACACCTACGTGTGGCCTCTGTGATTTCTGTGTATGGAGAGAACGGAGATTACTTACCCTATGTTTGTAAGTTTGTTGACTTCTAAGACGGGTATTTGTGTAAATAAAGGCTGCAGGGATACCCTTTGAATTGTTTAATCTTGCGATCAAACAAAATCACACTTGATTAAAATTTTTAAATGATTATGGTGTTGAAATATTTAAGACTTAAGTGTTTTTAATTATCCTTTAAAGACACTAATGGGAATATGAAGTCAATTAAAAATCAAAACACAATCGGTACATCGTATACTCTGATATTAAATGTTGTATGAAACAGTGGAAAATAATTTACATTAACGTCACTTTTGAAAACATTTCTAACTGTCTCAAATGTAAGAACAAAGGATGGTATTAAGACTGTCCATTAAGTCACTGATTGACCACTGACCAGTAGACAGTCAGTGCTAAGATTTGGTTCTGATGATGGCAGCCTAGCAGTCGAAAGTTTTCAGGGCAAAATTGAAGATTCCATGTACCACACTTTGTGGATAAGACGATAAGACTAGACTGATCCACATCAAAAGAATCTTGAGGTCGCATAACAGTATTTTTTGCTGGCTTAATGTTGGGTGTGGCCACTTTGTAATCATCTAAGGCGCATTTCAGTCTTTGATTGGTCAGGTTATTTTTCTCCTGAAACCCTCTCTAGACCAATCAAATTATTAATTGCTAATGCTTTCAATTTTGCCATAAAATGTTCCAGGGGCATAAGGAACAAAAGTGATCGTAACCCCTTGAGTATCAAGGTTGAATCTGACATACACTAACCTCTGTATATTTGAAGTCGAGTTCCAGACACCACACACAGCCTTCGCACCCACTGATGGAGTAGTTTCCCTTTCCTGACCATGGCATATGCTGACAACTGATTTCGGGAGTATGTGCTGTCCGAAATTGGTTTCCCTGTTTAATAGAAAAAATTTTGTTAAAATTGAAAAATCCTTGTAGGAAAACCATCACAGGCATCTTAAGTACAGCATGGTAATACATTTTTTGCTTCAGATAATCTGTAGTAAGATTTGCAAGCTACATCAAATAACATTTTCAAAAAATCAAAACAAAAACAAACAAAAAAAACAAACCAGCCTTATTAATTAATTGAAGATGAAACATGACCGTTAATTAGTCTAAGAATATAATAGAGACAGTATGGCCATGATACACTGTACGCCAAATTTCATTTACAATTGTAGCATGGACGGCAATCATTGACAAATGATGACACTTCTGTCATCATGAAATTTACTTTGGCCAAACAAAAAATACATGTGTTTCCTGTAACATATAGGTAAGATCAAAGGCCAAACATTTTTATAAATAATTCAAGACAGTTTATATAGGAGAGACATCTTGACTTTAACTGGACCTCTCTGAAAATTGCCATAAAAAGTTAAGTGATGGCACAAAATATAAGGACAGGAAGGATAACGGAAAACAAAAATTTAAGAGTAAAATTTGCTGCAAATTTGAATTTCTTACTAATATTTTCTGCTATGAAATATACATATATTGGGCATATGAATTTAAGATACAAACAATGCCTTTAAAAAGCTTGATTTATCTTTTCAAGATTTTGTTTGCATGTAGTAACATAGATGAAAGAAACCAAAAAGAAACCTGAACACAGTGTACTTGTTCAATAAATGACAAACATTTTATTTTAGCGAATCAAATACAATTTAAATTTTAATCTCCACATCAGATCACTGATCTCGTGATAAAATCTTCAATAAACAAGTCCAAAAGAAATCACATCTTTGTGATGAAGTCAGAATTCTTTGATCCATAAAGAGTTCACTGGTACATGAACAACACCAGTTTTAACCATCAGTATAACAATAATATCTTTCCTCACTGATCACATTCTATTTCTTTTTTCTGATATAAAATCTTGACTTTTCCAGTTCCCATAAGTCAACACGGGTCACTTTTCACAAGTTTGAACCCTCTCATTTATAATCACACACTTAGGTAATTTTCTCGCTCCATTAGACCTGCCGAAGAGATCCACCCACATTGAAGTAGATTTTCATTTGGTAAATAAAACATTTTGAGCTATTAAAATACAGGACACTGCATGGTCGTCAAAGCTCTAGTAACTGCCAAGTAATTACATGATATACAAGTGTTAAAGATAATGTCGGGATTTTATACGAAGTTAATTGCTACATACATGGATTTTAAAAACGACTTTATATCCACGCTCGACACTGTTGGTCTGACTGAGCATGGTCATGTATACAAAATTTGTGGTTTGATTTATCTACAAATCAAGTTTGTTGTTTGAAAACGATAAATTTGTAATTGAAATTTTTTTAAAGAGCGATTTTGTCATATTGTTTACAAGCTGTTATCGGTAGATAAGGTCCTTAATTACCCACAATATAAAAACCTGCTGAGGTACATCCATACCTGTAGAATAAGCATACGATAGTTCCTTCAATTAATAACTTCTCACACAAAAGCTTTCCCATCGCCCCCCCCCCGTCTCCCTCACCCTCCCCCATCCATCTCTTGTATTGAAGGAAGATTTCAGTTATCCCTTAATAAACCTTGATAAACTGAACCCCCTCCCTTTCAGATGACAGAAAGGTTAGTCCTATCCTCCAGCTAGATTGCCCCACTCTCATCCTCCACCCTTAGCTCTGGAATACCTGTCTATTTTCAACTTATACAGTCAAATAGTTTAAAGTACATCATAAATGCCAGCAACAAAGCATGTTTCACCAGTTATAGGGCTAGCAAAGGGTAATATTAAACATCAGTAAAAGGACTGAACATGTGCTGTATGTATACAATACTTCTGACCTTTGTCAAACTCACGGAATGAGAATTAAACCATGCATGAGGGTTACGATGACATGGCCCCACCTTTACAGACCGGCATAATACAATTAATTCTATCAGCTCAAGATTTTGCTCAATCTTTATTGAAAGTTTTATTCAAATCTATTTTTCGGGCATTAAAATTTTGCTTCCTTCAATTTCAGAATGAAGTTTTAACTGATATTTCAATAGTTCACACAAATGCTTCAATGTCAATTAGGCATTGACAGAAAACTTGTGCCGAAATGTGGTTACAAAACGTCCATTAGTATAACGCCAAAACATTAAAATTTCAGACTTCTATCCATTAACTATAGATTTATTTGAATATTTGATGTCTTACAGTGCTGGTTGCCTGGTGACCAACAGCTGGGTAGGTGATAATGATTTAAGACTGTCCACAGGATTTCCTTCTAAATAACTACCAGATTTATCCCACAACAAGCGCAACCCCACAGTAGCATGGTGTTGTGAAGCATGATGAAATGAACCGGCCCTGGCCAAGAAACTATAATGATAAGTAAACCACGGTTTATTATGGTGAAATGAACCCTCCCTACCCTCCCATGGTAAAGTGGTCCAGTTTTATATATATATATATTTTAACTGATGTTTCACTGATTAATTTCCAGCCATTAGATTATCATAGCCCAGATTTAAAGGAGATATGGGTGGTTGGGCTTATTACACAAGAAGATGATGTGGCATTAAATTGTTGAAATTTCTAATGCATTCACAAAATGTCTAAAAGGGAAGAGCATATCAACAAGCTTGGGCTTTTTGCCAGATTCAAGTAATTATGGATTGAAAATTTTAACTCTTTTGTGCTGAAAAGCCTAAACATTTCTTATTTATAAACATATCCTTCAGTAATATAGCGGAGGTTTCTAAGGCTTTCAAACTTCGAAATTCTAAATTTGCAACCTCAGATTCAAACGATTTACCGTAATTCTACTTCAATTGACCCCATTGCCTGTATATAAGCCCAGCTTTGTCATATAATTCACTAAGATTCCAAAACATTTTTCCAATGGCCTAACCGCAATAGGCTTTATACCAATGTCTTTGAGCAAGAACTTCTGTCTGCATGACCTTTGTCCTATTGGCAACCTCTTAACTCCAACCTCCAATTGCATTTATTGCCAGATAAATGCCACACTGTTTTTGTATTTACCAGTGAAACATTCCCTCAGATTAAATCTAATGACTGATGATATATTCTACACTAAACTACGTCATATGTGCCAGATCTGTCATTCTGAGGCGATCGTACTCACAAGACACATTAATCACAAACTTGTCTAGCAATAATCATTACACAATCAAATTAGTCACTGACATGTACACTTGTCGACATTTAAAGCTCGTAGATCTACAAAGATTTACAGTTAACGATGTGTACACCTGGAATACGTAATAAGGTGTTTAATCACTCATAACTCATATTTTATTTCAAAACATATATATTTCTGCATTTATTTACCAAAACTTTCTTAAAAATACTATTGACGAATTTTGTAATAGGACTTTTTAAACTTGTATATGTACACCATGAAGGCCTATTATATTTTTAAGGTGTTCAAATGAATATTTTTTCTATCAAATTACATTAAAATTGTTGAAAAAATGTGTCTTTCATTTCATTTATGTTACTCGTACGTGATGCGTTATGACCTTCAAGGCATTCAGTAACAGGAAGTTCTAAATCACTATAACTAGTTAATATGGATAAAATGGTAGATATTTCTTCAGGACAAAATCTCAACAATATGAATATGGACTTTTTGATAAATGTCTCAAACTGCGACTTTATTATATCAAAACAGGTCTAACTTGATTCTTTGGTGGCATATCAATTTTAACCATGTTCATATACAAAGCAGCGGATTTAATTTATCATTATAATTTCTTTACAGGAAATTAAAATGGGTACAAATTTATCAATTATAATGATATATGGAGAGGTGGAAATTCAAATTATAATTTATTTTCCACAGTAATAATTCAATATCAAATGTCAGAATTAGCAATTTTATACAGTAATATTTAATCTGCTAGAAAATTAATGTAGTTTCAATATTTCATTTTCAACTAAATTTTAAATTCTTAAATTCTTTAAGACAAAATTTAAATAAAGATTAAAGTGTTATTCGAGTAAATACAAAATTAATTCTACACCAAAAGAATGAATTTAGGAAAAAAATTTGTTCCGTTGACATTTGTGAATAAATTTAAGAGCTGTTTATCATAACAGCACTAAAAACATAAGATCGGGGAATAAAGTATATTACATAATGGAATACTAGTATAAATACTAGTGTATGATTTCAGTTTTTCGGTTGAATGATTTATTCATTTTTACAGCTAAGGTTCAATGCACTTAGACTTACAAGCCTACCATTTCTACAGGAATTAAGACTAAGTTCTACAACAGATCTGATCATCATTATAACAAATATTGTGTGGGTTACATTCAAAACTCAGATGTTTGACAATATGCCAATATTATTAGCTCACCTGTTACTAATAAAACTGTGGTCAATAAACTTATCAAGATCAGTTCTTCATAAACTTTTAAACCTTGTTAGATGAGTGGCAGAGAAGCTTTTCTTCCATATATGTTTTTAAATTCCATAAACTGCTTGAGTCACAATACTTTGAACTTTTAAAACTTGTTTTTTTAAACTTTATTATGTAGATATTTCTTATGTAAAATTCCCCACACGTGGTCTTGTTTCACTCAAAAGTTTTCTGGGGCTACATAATATGCACTACTTAACCTTTTTCTGAAATTTTGAAGATATATAAACACAACATGTATGATAATTATGAAATGTATTGAAATTATGGTGCTAGAGCACCTTTCCCTATAGATTTTGACCTTTCTTTCGATCATTTTGGATTGTCTTCAGTAGTCTACGAGGTTTCAAAATTGAGGCCCTTAGCATTACTGGCAAATCCTAGGATAAAACAGCTGTATAATGCAATTATGTTTATTATTTGGCTCCACTGTTTCTTGTTTCAAATTTGTATTTTTGTATTTTATGTGTGTTTCAATATCACTCTCCCATCACCCATTGGTAATGTTACTTAAATATGATTGGTGCCACCGAGTATGTTCAACATCTTCTTGCAACAATTATGAGGTGAAGGTCATCAGGGATGCACTCAATTTTATGCATGACCCTGATGACAATGAAAAGGTTATAGTTGCATTAAGGCTGATGATGACCGTTTTAGGGAAAATAAAAAAAAAACTTTAAAACATGAATAACCCCACTCCCATATCTATATATAACTTACAAAATTTGATAAATTTCTGTAAATAGTAATGGTGACCTTGACCTTGAACCTCTACAAGAGGGCAATAGTCAGATATTTACGATCAAGAAGAAGTAAATAAATTAGCTAGAGCGATGACCTCCCAAAAGCAATCGTGACCTTGACCTTGACCTTTGAAAAGGGAACAAAGTTTTGTCATTTATATATATGTACTTAACTTTCATAAGAAATATCATCAAAAATCTTTGAATGAATAAACAGTCTCTAGATCAATTGAGAGTAATAAAATGATTGATTCTTTTACAAGAAACAGTGACAAACCAATAGCTAATTGATTTTGAAACAAGTGAATCTGAGGCATTCTAGATACATGTTAAACCTTTTAACCCAAATAATAAAATTGCTTGAGCTATATGCTATTTCTCTAACCCAAAACCAGAAGGTAATTTCACAGAATCAAAATAATAACCTACAGGTTAAATATTGGTCGAGGTCACAAGACGGAATACACAGGCTTCAATCTTTGGGTTTGCTAATATTGGGTTAATACATACACACTGTACTGATAACAACACTTTAGTTGGGACAGATCCTAGCACTGATAATGTTAAATATATGTGTAAAATATTTCCTTATTTCCTGCGGCTTTGAACAATAAATCCAATCTTCCGTATCTAAACTGTTACTATTATACACGTCTGAATCGCCTCAAATGTCGTTTTCCATAACTCAGAACCTTGCACACTGTACTAATACTTTATATGGACGTGATTTGATGCAGTAGAAAATGAAACTAAGTATAACATGCAAATTTACGAGCATCAAGAAATTATCTTCCACCTCAAAAACAGAAGTATTTTATTCATCACTGATTGCTGATCGTAATAGATCTGTAGGTCTAAATTGTATGCCACACACATATCCCCCCCTGAGGTAAAACACCATTAGAGTAAAATATTCAATTTCTGTCCTTATTCTCCTTGACAACTTGTTTACCTATAAGACCAACAACATGTTTATTTACAATAAGTACGAAATACTTATAAATGATTTTCTCAAATGAATTTTCCTTGAACATGAGCGAAAGATATTTCATCCCAGACTGGTTAAGATAATGATGATGGAATTTCCCAGCCTCAAACCACACTGCTTTTATACGCCCAAGACATTTTCACACAAATGAATCACGATGAAAAATATCTTTTTAAGACTTGGGTAAAGTAGATATGAAAAATCAGCCCTTTGTAGAAGTATTTATTTTCATTAAGCTCCAATTTTGTGGTTTTGCAAAAAATTGCATTTTTGTTGGTACTTACTTACTCCTAAAATCCTCTAGTATTACAATCCATGTAAATTACTGTACCATGAATTCAATTGAAGATAAAAATTCCACAAAAATTAATGTTTTTACAGTATATACAGAAACATTCTAAATGTATGTTTCCCACAGACATGATATCATAGTCCAGCAAAGTATCAAGTTTTCAAATTGCCATCTGCATGAAACAGTTTTGAAATATTTTAAACAAGATTCTCACAAAAAATAAGCACTTTGCATAAGCAACCTCACATGTAACATAAATAAACTGTTTCTTTTTCGAGTTTCGTTTTACATTTGTTTCCTTTCATCATTATTTTTGTTTTTTTAATTTTTTTATGGGGTGGGTGGGGTTCTATTTCTTGAAATCTTTCTCTTTCTTTTTTAATGATTCATTTAAAATCATACAACTCTAACATCTGACCACACACTTGATCTATGTTAAATATCACCATGCTGGACCTTAGAATGTAAACTTTTCTACTTTTTTATTAATTTTATAAACTTTTGAGTTTAAAAGATAAATTTTAAGTTACCAGAAAAACTTGAAATCTTATAAATTCTAAATTCAATTTCAATTTTTAACTTGAGGGAAGATTTAAAATTTATAATATTCTGACAGGAACAGATTCAAGGTGACTGGCTTTTAATCAAATCAAATGCATTTAGCTCTGGTTATTGTATTTCAATAGCCATGAATGGATACTTGTAGGTTGTGATTTCAAAACCTTCACAAATTTCAAAAACATCTTTTTACTTTTAAACAGAAAGCTATCATAATGAAACCTGCTTATGGTTTAAAGTTAATCAATGAACAATTTTGGTTTGAAAATGCATCGACCAAGCAAAAGGGTTTCTTGATCTGCTCAATTCTTACCTGCATAGAATTTGACAAGCCATGGTATACTGTCGTTAGATCCCATTTCCTGTATTTTATGAATATCCCTATAACCAATTTTCTGTAAGTATTCATTCTGTAGTGCCAGGGGACAATCAAACGGCTCCAGCCTTTTAATGATGTCCCCATTGAATTGAATATGAAGGGAGTTTGGCGGTCTCCCGCACTGAAAACATATTTTCTGTGCCGTCGTGGACAATGTTGATGGGAAGAGTTTTGAAGATTCAGAATTAGAATCGAACACTCGTATAAATCCATTGCTGGTATCCTGATCTATCCATTGTTTGTCAATACTGTATGCTTTGTTGTTATTTTCCGGTTCTTCTTCCTCCTCATTTGATTGGTCAAGTGATTCCTTGTCCCGTTTATTGACCTCATGGTAGAGATCAGCCAGTGAGTCTGATAAATCCCAAGTATCTTCATCGCCATGTTTATGGAGAGAAAGACCCACACTCTGGTGAGTGAGACCCTGTTCTAAGAACCCCCCTACACTCCACCATGCCTCTGCACCCTGATAGGGGGCGCTGAAGTTGTGTGTGTCCTCGTTGCGGCTTCGCGTTGTACCGTGGCTAGCATAGCTCCCTTGGGAACTACCATGGCTGCCAATGCTGACCTGGCTGAGGGAGCTATCACTGCCCCGTGGCATGTCTAATGTCACATTAGTCCTACAACATACAAACACAAAAGATCATCAATCACAAAGAATCATTAATTGAACAAGACAATGATCTTCATATTTCTACCAATACGTACATATTTCCAGCTGTCACCTGAAGTGATGGGTAGACCTGTATACTCTTGATCTAAAGAACACTTTTAAAATTAATACAAAGAAAAACTTATCCCATCCCACCTTTAGGTCAAGGACAAACTTTAATAGTATACACTTCCTGTTTTGAATAGGCTGTCTGTGTGTTCACCTGTTGTATGTATATTAAGACATACAAATCTACTTTTGTTTGTAACAGATTAATACTTGTGTGGAACATATCACCAGAGATCTTCCTTCTATATCTGTACTTCTAGCAATGATTTAAACATACTCAAAAATATACAACTCAATTTGTTTTTATGTTTGCAATGTTTATTGGCCAACCATGCAGCCACGGTCATTATGAGGCAGACACCAATCCTTGTAGTAGCAAGTCCCTCACTGAACAACATATGGAAGGCCCACCATATATTAACAACATCAATTGGAGTAATTGGTCTTGCCCAAGGACACAACCAGACAGCACATGACTGTCCATTTCTCAGCTTCCTGAGAACCCCCCCCCCAACCCCCCACATGAGAGGGACTGACACACACACACCTAGAATCTTCAACTGAGTTTGCATAATGGTTGATGTTTTAATTGACAGAGCTATTCTGGTCACTTCAACTTACTGTACTAATCCTATAGATTAAGTTACTACAGGAACACATGAAATATGTATATATCTAATACATAATCTTAGTGTACCTTAACACCTCACATCAAATATCCACACAAACCTTCAAAGTCATTTCTGTTTTTACCCAAGGCAAATTTTTAATGTTTGACCCAATAAATCATTCAGCATTAGGTTTTTCCAGTTCTTGAAATTCAATGATATTTGTTAAGATTTCAATGTATCAGCATAATCCCCGAATTCTGACACCAATAAATGAATACGTGACACCGAATCATCACACAAATATGCTCAGTTTTACATCATCTTCAGTCATCCTTGAAAAGCTTTCAATTAGAATCACAGCATGAGATGCTATAATAAAAGATTTACTCATCAAAACTACTTGAAAATATTGAAAGATATATATTTTTTGAATAGACAAAAATACAGTTTTATGGGAACACTTCTACATCCATTTCAATTAAGACATATATAGGTTAGGTCCCGAAAAAAACAAAATTGAACTTGACGTAAATCGGTAGATATTTTTATTATCAAGAAAAATAAAGATTTATTGAACTTTTAAGATGAGCTAACATGAACTTATTAATAAGTACCAAGGGTTTTAGAACAGGTATATCAGAATTTTAAATAATAACATTCTGAAGAATCTGATGAATTTTGATACCAGATGCAACCCATGCCTAAGCATGCAGACTTAAGTAACACAAGGATGACTCATTTGGGTCATTTCTTAAAGATTTGGGAATTACTTACGTTTTTGACGGTAAAACAGCAGGCCACTATAGAGGTAGTCTAGGGATGATTCAATGGGATGAAATGATACACCAGGTATATATGGTAACACTAGAGATGTCCGCGTAACATTGAAATGAACAAGGCGACAATGACTACACTACTTCTACTCCAACCAGTTCACCCACACACCCTGATGTGTCACCGTCTGTGTCCTGAAGGAGCTACAGGCATTGTACCATTTAAAGCTTTGTGATTATTTAAAGTAGAATTTTAATCCAGAGGTTAAAAATACCCTTCCTATATAATACCCTTACAATATTTACTGTACATGTTTGCTGAAGTCTCCCTGAATCGAAGTTAATGTCTCCCTATTTCTAATTTAACAAAAGTGTTGGATGAAATGATTACTTATGAACCGATATTCATTTGAAAAAAATCAATTATGTGTGGATTTATAAACTTTGAAAAAAAATGTTTCATACCCTGATGAAACTTACAAAAAGTTATTCTCCGCACTTAAAGAAAACTCAGAATCACAGAAATGCATGAAAAAAAGAGTAAGAAGTGTTGGATTAATGTCAACCTTTCATGTTTTAACAATTAATATGTTAGATATTGAGGTCTTCCTCAGAGTCTGCACAGAGTCCAAGGCCTCTTGACAGGCAAGGAAAATAAAGGGCCATAACTCTAAAAATAATGATGTTTTCTTTATAATATCTGGTGGTCTTATGTCAGGTATGATATATTAACTAAAACTTTCAGAATCAATGTGGTCAACTAGTGAAAATGTCCGAGATTAAAAAATCTGTAAAGTTCTAAACTATCTTATATTTACACTGAATCCAATATAAAGAAGTTTATTTTATAATGGCGACATTTTCTTCAGAATGACCCAAAAAAATCTAATATCAAATACCAATTTCTTGTTTTCCTCCCCCCCCCCCCACTTTCTTTTCATTTTCAAATGCATTAAAACTTGCATCTCACCAATTGTAATAAATCTGACAGGTGCAAAACATAACTTTGAAAAATGTCCTAATTTTAATATTTACATACAATTTATATTGTTGTACCTTGAATTACTCTAAATATTTTTGCATAAATCTCAAGAAAAAAAATATAACAATGTTAAAGATTTTACATTGTTCCCTAAAACTCCCTACAACCATAACAGGTTTCTACCTGACTGCAGCGTGCAATTATATACCTTAAAATTTTGTTTTGAACATTTTTATCGACTAAAATTACTCCACCTGTGTTATTAAGACACAACAATCAAAATATTCAACAGATGAATATAATGAAATTCTCTTCAAGTTAAAAGTCACTTTTCTTTTCTGCATAAAATCTTTACAAAAAGGTCATAAAATATTGGAACTGCCCTCTGATTCATACAACTTTAATTTAACAGAAATGCTGTCTCATATTCCTTTTCAATACAATAATATGCAAGTTCATTATATTCCCAAATACTTATACCTTTACAATAAGTGAAGGTGTACCAACACTTCAATATTGAGTCACACATATCAATATTTTCAGTGTAGTAGAAGAAAAATATTATCTCAAGGATTAAAAATTTCTATCATTGCAAAGATATTTTCCATATAAATAGCCTTGACCTTTGAACTATAGAACATGTCTTTAATCTCACGCATATTTTTCAACTGGGAAATTGATATGAAATGTTAAGATTTTTTTCCCCACAAAAAAGTTTTTTCAAGAAAGAATTTTAAGATGCTATATAAAGAACAGAATGCACTTTCTATGAAAGCATCAAATAACACTGCATTCATAGCAGTATGAATGACAATGCTGATGTATGAGGTTTTCATAGTTGATAAGAATACTAACATAATATATCAACGTCTGATGCTGATCTTTGCTACCAAGCTTTTTTTTTTTTTGCTCACATTCTGGGTGAAGAATTCCATGAATGAATCTTATGATTTTGAGTTTTTCAAGAAATGTGGTATTTGTGGGAGAGATTGAGAACATATGCATCCAGACCAGAAAATGACATTAAATATTTACAACTGGTAATAACCTTATACATGGATTTCTGGACAACCTTGTTAAGTAATAGTGACAACAAGGTACTGGGGGATTATGTAGCCACAAAAATGTTTTAATCAACACCTTAAATAGTAGGCACATACAGCTGTCCCCAGAGTCACATCTACTCTTTGTGAAAGAAATATTAAGTTTCTTGTTGCCCAGTAGCACAAATTAATACTTGATTTCTTTACTTCAGGTATGACTTAAAAACATTCTAGTTTTTAAGTTAAAAATAAAATTCCTTCTCTCCAAACATTTCTCCTTCTCGTTCATTTTTAGGTATGTGGACGTCTCTCTTAGATCCTAAATACAAACACATCCACTTAGGAATATATTCAAATGAAAATATTTTCAAAATTTCTTTTTTTCTTGTAGTAATTGTGAAACAATTTCTATAGACTTGACATTCGATAATTAACCCTGCTGATCCAAACGAAAGCAAGCAAGTTTCAGGGTGGTCTTGCTAGGGAATGGTAGAAACCAGTCACTTGGGAAAACTCTACCTTAAATCAAACAGTTCTCCATGCATCTTTTTCATGACATGTATGAAGGAATCAAACGCTGGTCCTCAACGTGAGAGGTGAATGAGTAAACCAATATATCATACATTAATCCTGAATGATGTCATGAAAATTTGATTTGATTGGGAGGCAGAGCACAATCATTTTCACATGCTAAAACTGACATCTTTCTAGTACAATTAACATTTGAACATTTCAGAAACAAAAATACAAATGTCGCCTACTGAGTACAAGAGAACATTTTACACACTAAAACAATGTTGTTAGCATAATTTCTAATCTTTCAACGATTGAACACAAACCAAACCTGAAACCTTACCGCCGGTTAAAGGGAAGAATGACATGTTTGTAGGAATAGGACCTTCCAGGCAGGGACGGAAGCGGAGACACTGTATCCTCGGACTCAATCTCCATGGTAGATTTTTTCCAATTTTATTTGTCAAACATTATCTCCTCCAAGAACACTACTGTTACATCCTCTCAGTGTCTTCTGCTAAAAACTTTTTCTGTGCCTTGTACAAATTCCACTAGTGGTTTTTGATTTCTATCTTCCATAAACAGTAAAATAATCTGACATCTTCCCCCGTGACTATTTGCAGGGGTCACTTGGTGAGTGTCACCAATGTCATTACAAAGATCAGTTTCTGAAATTGTGTTAAAAACAGATCGTTGTTCAGGTTGGCTGTAAATTCCTCGAGGCACACGAACTTAGAAACTATGTATCCACATCTCATTGTCATCCATTAAGTCGATCTAAACCACACCAATATCCATTATGATTAAATATCAAGATAAATCCTCACCAGTTTTAACAATGATCTATTGGGGACTCAGGGCATAGTCATCAGGTACAACACTGAATTGTTGTCCAGTCCTTGACCTGACCAAGTACTACACTAATTGTCACTCACAATGGACAATGCTATGATCATCCTGTCTTCACAATATCAATTATTAAAGCTAATTGAAATTTCCCGTTACACTATTAAGTCATCCTCTAACACACATTCTCCTTGAAAAATATATTTGTGCACAAAGACAAGTAATTTTTGAACCTAAAGAAAACCAGGTGAGTTAAAATGTGGCCACAATACTTTGGGTACCGTACTGACACCACATGAGGTGTATAGAAGTTATCGCTGACCTTCCACCGTCAATTGTCATTCTCACAATAACATAACCTGAGTGTCCAGTATTCTTGAACAAAAGATCACCAGCTTCGACAAGGTTATAGAGACCACTATTGAATTCAATGATTATCCTGGCTCCAACTGCCTGGTATGTCCATATACAGCGTTAAGGGCCTACAGAGCGATGTCACAGCACTGATGAAAATGAAATTAAAAAGTTGGGTCCCGTACAGTGTAAACATTGCCAAGATTCCGTAAGGTGATCACAGGAGAGATAAACATCCCACGTTTTGTTTGTAAGTTACCAGAGCATGGCCCTTCTCCTCCTTACACCAAGTCCACACAAGTAATCAGGGTGTATCGTTCGTCTTTTTAAAACTCCTCAGCGACCTCTCAACAGGTTTTGTACAGTAATCTATTAGACTTAATTCTATTCTTTAGAATACAAAATGCTGCATAAAAGCTTTACCAATCACACGAATGATTAATAAATTCAAATTCCAAAGGCTTTCTCCACATGTTTTTTAAACTGTAGAAACTTGGACATGCGAGAAACTGCTCGTAATAAACGTTTTGTATACTCCAATCAGATTGAAGGTGACACTATCCAGTATATCTCCCAACACTGGTCAATGAAGTAACCAGACGTTTCAGTCAGTGAACATATTAGAGACAACGTTATGTGTTCACCGTGTCAAATGAGGAAACGTCACTCAGTACACTTATCACGAATAATAATATAACTGACATGTACATTTATCGCAAAGATAAAAACTTTGCTCCATGTCTGACAGCTGATTAATCGAACACCTCCGTACATTTGTGACGTATTTTTGATAGTTTTCTCGCTGTTTTTACTCACAGGTCCAAGGTGTGTAGGTAAAGTAGTTTGATTCAACATCCATTGTAAGTCTACCTACTACTCTCTCACAACAAAACAGCCTGTCACGCTTCAGCGATCACACAATACACAGCAGCTATCCCAAAAATCTTCCTTCTCCTTTCCCGATAAAAATACTCAAAGCGGGATCACATTCCCAGTTTTAATATAACACGCCAGGCAAATTAAAATAAACTACTTGCATGCTATGGCCTTTTAAATATATATTTCAAACCAAGCAATCATAAAACTTGAACAGCTAAATTGAAAACTTATGTAATTAAACAATCAACAGTCAGACGCATGTTTACTTTAAAATTTGTCGATACTTATGTCGGTGATAGTGTGGCATGACCAAACATTGAAAGTCTTTTGACCCACTCGCTGTCTTTGTAAAACCTTAAACCTACCAGTCTATAGTCAATTAGAGAGTGTATCCATTCAAAAGTGGTCACTTTATCGACCAAAGAAAAGCTTTTAAGAAAGAGAAAACCTGTTTGTATTGTGTCACTAAATACACAAATGAGGTACACAATGACAATGGCCTCAGACCCATGTCTAGTACATTGACAGATGGCGGTAATGGTAAACTGATCGTTTGAACAGCACAGGTAATATATTACAGCGATATATATACCCAGTCCTGACCTAACAGATATATCATCCATATAGGGATATACATTATTATCATATCCATCCTCCTTGCCAGTAATTGACTTGTGTAATGATATCTGGAGACACATTCCACTTATTATTATGTTACTTATTGGCACATGTTGCTTATAACATCAGGCCACATAAGGACATAATTTGCTTAATATAATTCAACTGAAAGGCTGCCTCCTACTATCATGTCACCTAATGGCACAATGTGCTCAAAAATCCTGGTCACTTAATGGCACATTCTCTGCTTAAAAATTTTGGTCACTTAATGGCACTATCTGCTTAAAATCATGACACCTAATGACAATTTCCATTTAATATCATGTCTTTTTTAATAATATATTTTCATCCACCAGTTGTATAAAAACCTTGCAATATAATGGATTTTTCTCTCTTTTTTTAGGTGACCTGAGTGCTTAACATCAGTTTATTTGAACCATTATCAAAAGACTATCAGACAATTAATTTTTTTTTGTCCTGAAACCTGAAGATCCTACAATAGGGGATTAGGGTCTTTCTTTTCACAATTGTAAAATTGTTAATATAACTGAAAATTTATACACTCAGATTTTCTTTACAATTAAGCTTTCATGATAGCTTTCATGATAACTTAAGACTACTGAGAATTAAAGAATTGAATACAAGTTTCTAACCCTTAATCTGTAGCCTTTATTTCATGTGATCTGTCAGATCCTTGCTACCTTAACAAACATTTATGTTTAACAAGGTAACTTCCCAACATTTATTTCACTCAAAGCATATTAAATTCATAACTTCTGAACTGGGAACTCATTCACAGCTCATTGGAGAGATCTGAAAAGCATTTTACGTCTTTTAAAATTCCATTGAATAAATCTTGCTTGTAAAAGATGAGAAACCTAGAGCTGTAGGGAAAGGACACATAATTTGAGTGGATGAATGGTTTGTTTGACAAGTAGACCTGCCAAATTTCTCACAGAATGATGTAACTCAATACCAGTCTGTGATATACCTTCTATTTCATGAATAATGAATACATCCGCATTCTCTATACAGAGCTATCTGAAGGATTTGTAAATATATACTGTGTTATAGCCCAGCATTGGCTGTCTGTTGACGTATTACAAACATTTGTCTGTCAGTTCTAGTCCTTCTTATCAGAGACACATTACTTCAGAAATTACTGAAGATTCATAAGCATGCATGTCTAAAAGGTTGACATGAAATCTGTGTTTTCAATTTGAATACAAATTTTTACAATGTTGTATAATTTAAACACAGTCCTATATTTCGATTATTATCCTATTGAATCTGGTGAAAGGTACAACTGTTTACATTAAATACCTATTTGACTGGTAATGGATTGTGTCTTTTAATAAGCCCACCCATTTATTATTGATCTGAGTACACAGAATTGACAACAAATTTTATATCAATGTCGTGGAATAAGCCCACACATATATAGCTGGTCAATAAACAGAATTAACAACAATTCTTATTTCATTGCCCTGTAATAAGCCCACCCCTGACTTTGAAGAAAAGGAAACGTCTTGGCTTCCAAGACTTTTTGAAAGAGAAATACTCTTTCACAAAGCAGCCATGCTCTTTGGCTACCTGTCTTCAATGGAAATCTGTTCCTTATGACAACTACTGGAGTATATCCTCAGCAGGTTACACCTGAAACTAATGCCTTTTGGAGAATACCATTTTTGTAGCAAATCACTTTTAGGAAATATCTTATCTTTTTGAAATTACCTTTTATGCAAAACACGAACAACCATTAAATGTTAAATACCACATTTTTTGTGAATACCTTGCTCATGAAATGCCTGTTTTTTAACTTACAGCCTTTTATCGAGACCTCCAGTTTCACAAATAATTCCTTAAACTTGTCTAAAAAATATAAAATAGAGCGATTTTTTTCTGATAACATGTTTTATGACCAAACTTGTCATTTGAGAACTTTTGTCTTTTTAGAATGTTCAACTTAAGGACTGAAAACTAACACATGATAACCATCTTTTGGGTACATTTAAGAAAACCAAGATGCCTATTAGGAACCCTATACTTTGAGATGCCTTCCTGTTATTGTGTAATAAAAAAGTCTCTTAACACCACAATGCTATACTGTATACCTAATTTATTCTCAGAGACCCAAATGTTATATACCTCCTGTACCACATAATGTCCTATTTTTGGTTTTAATCATGTTCTTCAATCCACATTTGTCTTTAGAGAGTATTTTTTTATCAAATCTGTTTTCTGAGGGCCTCCTGTATGTTGTTCAGTGAGGTAGTCCCCGTCTACTACAAGGAGACCCTGCCACAAAATGACCCTAGCTGTTCACAGGGCGATAAACTCAACACACAGATTTCAGAGGACATTTTTATACTATTTTTGTCTCTTAAATCACAATTACCATATGACTGTGCTTTTTCCTGACTTCCAAAAATCAGAGAGGTAACAATCATAGCAGTGAAGATTTTTCTGTTATATTTATTGGAAAAAAAAATCAAGCAAACCATTTGCAAGAAAATTTCAAATGATGAATAGGAGATAGCTGTAGATTGCTCTTGAAATTCTAAGCTGATGCAAGAATGGTAAATGAAACGGTGTTGTACAACCTCATGTACATGTTTAGTGGAACTTCAGTGGAAAAAATAAAAGAGTTTCAACCTGTTTTAAGGTGAGTAAAATGAGAATTATCAACTCTCAAAAATTGCCTTCGGCCTCAGGAATAATCACTTTTTCAGATTGATAAA